CACAAGTGGATAGTGAAGCGACAGTTCCTTGGTGGCCAGAATTCAAAAAGCATACCCTCATGAAGCTGGAAAGTTAAATAGCCTCTGTGTCTGTCTATATATGTTGTATGTCTAATGGCATTGAATGTTTGCCACTTATATGTGCATTGTGATCCGCCCTGAGTCACCATGTGGGGTGAGAAAGGCGGAATATAAATACTGTAAATAAATCAATCAATAAATAAGTAGAATAGACCCAATAGAATGGATATCGAGGCTTCTAAAAAAGGTAAATGGGCGGGGTCTTAGAAGAGGATGTGAAGATTGGCTTATATGTATATTTGGCTTATATGTATTTATTTTGTTTGTATTTTAACTTATTATGATTTTATGATGTTTTTCGTTGTATTTGTGCATTAATTTCTGCTGTTAGCCGGTCTGAGTCCTTCTACGGAGGCAAAAAAGATCAGGAAATAAAAGTTTTAAATAAATAAATAAATAAAATGATTAAAGGTGCACTTCCACTGAAGAATTAATGCTGTTTGACACCACTTTAATTGCTATGGCTCAGTGCTGTGGAGTTGTGGAAGTTGTAGTTTTACAATGCCTTTAACCTTTCCTGTCAAAGACTCCTGGTATCTCACCAAACTGCAAACCCCAAAATAGCATTGAGTTAAAGTAATTCCAAACTGGGTTGTTGTGAGTTTTCCAGGCTATATGGCCATGTTCCAGAAGCATTCTCTCCTGACATTTCACCCGCATCTATGTCAGGTTGCCTCTGAGGAACCTCTGAGGATACCTGCCATAGATGCAGGCAAAAGGTTAGGAGAGAATGCTTCTGGAACATGGCCATACAGCCCGGAAAACTCACAACAACCCAGTGATTCTGGCCATGAAAGCCTTTGACAGTTCCAAACTACATTAATTCCTGCAGTGTAGATGCATCCTATGACTCAAATCCGCACTAGGCCATCGAAACCCAAAATGTGATTTCAGGCAGGTCACACACTCTCGACCTCAGAGAAAGGCCATGGCAAACTGTTCCTGAACAAATGTCACCACGAAAACCCCGTGATGGAGGTCACTGATGGCAAACAACATCAACGAGAGATGAAGAGCAGCACTCACAACTGAGCACTGTAAACAGAGAGAAAATGTATAAACAAGGAGAGAGGTATGACATAACATAATGGAAACAGAACTGAATGATTCTAATCTCTTTTTCTAGGTCGAATTTCCTGAAAGTGAGGAATGCAGCGCTGATGATTCAGCGGAACTGGAGGGGCCATAATTGCCGGAGAAACTATGGTGCTGTAAGTGTTCCAGGAACGCACAAGGAGCATAACTGTTTGTCTGCCAAATCCAGCATTGTCTCTATCTCAGCTGCTATCTCAGAGGGGCAACTTTTATGGGTCCAGGACTACCACCAAACTCCGATCTTAGTGGGGAGCACCCACCAATTGTAAAGCAGAAATTCAGCTAAAGAAGGCCATCTACGCCTTTGCAAATGCACTTGGCCATTTAAAACTGGCCACTTCCATTTTTCAAAGTCTAAAATCAGTTTCAGACTTTGAACAGGCAACTAGTTGTTATAGCAGACCATAAAACGCTGCCATAAAACTCTCCAGCAGTGTGCAAAAGAATGAGAAAGTACTCAGTGTATTTTGTTTAGGTGTAATCAACCATTTTGTTGCCATTTGTCCCCAAACAGGTTCACCATGCCGCAAATGTGGAAGTCACCAATTACCACTGTTTGTTTGTTTTTTTGTTAGTATTGTTGCATTAAAGTAATTGATGTAGTAAATGCAAATATACATTTAAGACAGGACTTGAAAACCTTATTTTTTGTACCGTAGCTCCCAGATATGATAACATAAATAAATGATAACACTTTATTTATATTCTGCCCTTCTGACCCCAAAGGGGACTCAGGGCGGATCACAGCACACATACACGGCAAACATTCATTGCCACTTTTGTATACACAATACACAGACAGACAGAACAGAAAGGAAGTGTTGGGATTTTGTTTTTTTGGTGCCAAGGGTGAGTCCAGCCACAGGGGATGCTGTTGCTCCATTCTCTGTGACGAAGAGCCGTCAGGTCTTCCTCCTTCCTTTTTGGTCACCCAGGATTTTCTGATCTTTCTTTAAGGTGTCGTAAAACACCTCCCCGCTTTTAGCGGTACCTAATTTCTCTAATTACAGCTAAAGTTGTTTTCGAACTGCTTAGGTAAACAGTGAGCAGGGCTGACAGTCGACCTGCTCATGCCGACCTGGGGCTTCGAACTTGCAACCTTTCCGTTGACAGATCTTCTAATTGCTGGTGATTTATCAGCTGTGCTTAAACCTCTGATATGCTGTAAGAAACCTCCCAGAATGTGAGAGTTCTAGTGCAAAATGATTCCCATTTGCAAACTTCGATGTGATGTTGCATCTAATCTAGTTTTTGTATTTCACTATGGGAAAGATGTTATATGATTTTAACTCCACTAAAATCACAGGTTCTGCAAGCATGACGTGTCTAGCTAATCCAAAAGACCAAATCAAGTCACAGATGGGTTAGAAGGCAAAAGCGGAGGTTTTTTATTCTTCCTGGCCAGAGAGGATGTCAACAGAGTACACACTACCAAAGACTGGCGTATTTCAATGCAAATATAGAGAAATAGTTGTAGCACTTTGACAACAGTTTGAAACAAAAAACTTCTGCTCCTTGGAGTGTCATTTGGCCCAGGTTGTGGCAAGATAGGATCTTCATTCAGGTTGGTTGGGATGCACTGTCTGTCATTTTTCCTGATTGGCCTCCAGGTTTAAAGAGAAATTTAATTAATTGTTATTGAGCAGTTTGATGTTTTGTAGGTGTTGATGGTTCTACCGCTCATGGGTTGTGTGAAGGAAAGTATATGGGTAGAATTTGAGGTAATGGATGTTAATGATGTCTGTCTCCTCAGCCTGAGGACAGTGGTCCCTGCTGGTGAAAAAATAGGTAGCAATGGGTGTTAATCAGTCTGAATGGGTTCCCAGGAAGTATCCAAAGAGGGTATTGGGCGACTTCTGTAACCTCTGGTTTGGCTCCATAATTAGGTGTGTGCAGGCATTATTTTAGGATTATGATTGGGTGAGGCAAGGGTTTATTTATTGTGTCAGGGGCAACCAGACCACAGTATTACATTTCTAACAGAACAAAACAAACAAACAGATAAAAAAACACAAAGTTTGCAAGCTTGGTAGTTGATTAAATGTCCTTTGACCAGTATCAGGCCACTTGGAGTGCCTCTGGTGTTGCCGCAAGAAGGTCCTCCATTGTGCATGTGGCAGGGCTCAGGTTGCATTGCAGCAGGTGGTCAGTGGTTTGCTCTTCTCCACACTCGCATGTCGTGGATTCCACTTTGTGGCCCCATTTCTTAAGGTTGGCTCTGCATCTCGTGGTGCCAGAGCGCAGTCTGTTCAGCGCCTTCCAAGTCGCCCAGTTTCTGTCTGCCCGGGAGGAGTCTCTCATTTGGTATCAGCCATGGATTGAGGTTCTGGGTTTGAGCCTGCCACTTTTGGACTCTCACTTGCTGAGGTGTTCCAGCGAGTGTCTCTGTAGATCTTAGAAAACTATTTCTTGATTTAAGTTGCTGACATGCTGGCAATTTTCTTGAGGCAAGGGTGAGGTGAGTTCACATTCTAGCTTACTTTTCAGGGCAATTAGAAATGACCATGTGGCTGGCTATATTTTCCAGTGGATCCACATCTTTCAATGGATATATTTTATATAATGCATATTGTTGTTGGTGTGGTGTGTCTGATTTCTCAATAACAAAGAGACATCTGGCTTTCATAAACCCATTTTCTTTTCAAGATGCGCATTGGCTTCCTGAGGCTGCAGGCCCTCTACCGTTCCCGCAAACTGCACAAGCAGTACCACATGGCTCGCAGGCGCATCATCGAGTTCCAAGCCCGGTGCCGGGGTTTCCTGGTCCGCCGGGCCTTCCGACATCGCCTCTGGGCAGTCTTCACCATCCAGGCCTATGCCCGGGGCATGATTGCTCGCCGCCTATATAAGCGTTTGAAGGGAGAGGTATGTTTCCTACATCATCTGATATTGGTGGACTCCGATCCAAGTACTAACCACAGCTGACCCTGCTTAGCTTCCAGTATCAGAAAGGAACTAGTGCATTGAGAGTATTTAGGCCAACAAGCAAATATTTAGTGGAACTAAAACATATCCTACATCAATACCCACTCCAGGTGGGGGATTCACTTCACCTTATGGGTACTCAGCCCTCACCACAATTATACACTTGGCCTCTCACATTTGCTGGGATTAGGTGCATAGGAAACCTATGAAAGTAGAAAGCATGAAATAATAATAAAAAAGACTAAACTAGAGACATCACCTCTAGCACAACTCTGTGGTCAACTCCCAGAGACAGCATTTTAATCAAATCCTCAGAAGTCAAGTCTACTAATGTTCAGGGCAAGCTTTAGTAAACATTATTTGGCACTTCACATTTAGTTCAACCCTATGTTTTCTGAATTTCATTCAATTCCCCACATTGGAGTCTGTCTCTTAAATACAATGAACTATCCAAGCAATCTTCAAAATATCTTTTCTTCAGTATCATCGTCGTCTGGAAGCTGAAAAGCTACGTCTGCTGGAAGAGGAGCGACTGCGGAAAGAGATGAGTGCCAAGAAAGCCAAAGAAGAAGCTGAAAAGAAGCACCAAGTGGGTTCCTATATTTTCCTTCCATATATGTGGCGTTGCAAGGCTTCCCTGTACAGACTTCACCCATTCCGTATGTCATTTGTAGGGCCTAAGTCTAATCAATGTTAGATCTAGCAGTCAATACATTGGTTCACAAAGCCTAGAGTTGGCTTGGGTTTGTGGTCTTATTGAATGCGTCTAGATGTCCGAAGAGAATACTGGGCTTGGAACCTTGCCTTATTGTATTGCAATTCCCAGGATTCTCCAGCAATATTGGAGGACTTGTAGTCTAATGAAGCAACTTTTGCCCGACTGTGATGGTCCGGCTGTACCAGGAGCTCCAACTTCCTTTTCTTTCTTTGAGTGTTTGCATGTATTCCAAAGTTCCATGCATTTTGCAATAAGGTGGCTTCCCTTGGTTTGCAGCCACCTGCCTATCATCGTTGGTTTTTTTAGTTCTGCCCCTTTCCCCAGGGTTCAGGAAGGAAAGGGAGCCATTTTAGCTCAGTCTTACAGTTGAAAGCTTAGCTACAGGACGTAAATCAGCTCCACCTGTTGAGAAATTCCGGGGGGGGGGGGGGAACAGTTCCAAAGGACTCCAGCTGGAGAATCTACAAAGCCTTGACTGGTAGGTCTACTCAGGACCCAAGAAGCAGTTTGGAGCCGGGAGTAGAGCCCACACCAGCAAAGTTTAGGAAGTAGATTGCCCAAGGAGGGGTTAAAAAGGGTTTTCCTCTTAAAGAAAAGAAACAGTTCACGAAGCCAGTTGCCTGTCCCTTGTGGACAAGATTAAGAAAGCCACCAGTTGATTCAAAGCCTTGAAGTATTTGTTTGACCTGTTGAAGATCTGGGGAGTATATGATTTTTTTGTTGAAGACCTAAGCAATAATAAAGGACTTTGTTAAACTTTTCAAGCTTCTAAAGACTTTGTATGGGAAAATCCTTAGGGCCTCTCACTCAAGGCACCCCGGCTTCCCGCTGGGCACAAAGAGCATATCCTGTTCAAAAGCCCACTTGTAATATTCCCAGCGCGTGACAGCACACCGACACCTCCCAACAAAGTATTCCCCCAGGCAGGAAGCAGCCAGGCTTTGAAGCTACAAGTCTATTCAGTACTAATCAAGGTGGCCAATTGCAGCATTCACACTTGCCTCAAACAGGCAAGAGTTTTTTCTCCCACGCAGGACATTAGTCCACAGATATATAAACCCCACTTGCCTAGTTTCCAACAAACCTCTGAAGATGCTTGCCATAGATGCAGGCAAAACATCAGGAGAGAATGTTTCTGGAACATGGCCATACAGCCCAGAAAACTCACAGCAACCCAGTGATTCTGGCAGTGCAAGCCTTTGACGACACAACTTTTTCCCACTTCCATTTTTTTGAGTTTCTACTATTTGTTAGGTATAGTACTGAGTCATTTATATTTTTTTGCATCTTACCACCAGCCATGTATTTTGCACTTAACCTGCATTATGTTGAATCAGAGCTCATTTTTGTGACAGTTGTCATATATTGGCAAGACCTGGTGGTCTGTGTTCCAATTAGGAATGCAAAATTCTTGCTCTCAAGTAGGAGAATGACTAAAACACATTTCTGTCTTTTCAAATTGAGGCAAGAATTGTTTGGGCATCTTTGGAAAACATTCACAAGTTACACAATGGTGGTGTGGGGGCAAATTACTAATGTTGCTGCCTTCTTGCATAGACCTTTGTACTGGGTGGGTTGTTTGTTTTCTTTTGGCTATTTGTCCTGTCCTTTAGTACTTTCTTCGTGCATTTATTTTGCTCAACTTAGGGTAAAAGGTCTTCTGGCGCAAAATCTAAGGAAACTGATAGGTGGGGAAAATTATCTTTTTGCTTTTGCACAAAAAGTGAAAAACTTGTGCTGTGTTTGGTAATTTTCTTTGGTGTTCTGACAGTTTTGAAAATGTAATCTATATACTAAGAGCCTTATTTTCCATGATTCAACAAGGTGCTTGCAGGCATTCAGGGTTATTTTACTCAGCGCTTGTGTCCCCCTTGAATTCGTCTTACTCATTTCCATAGTTTTCTCCTAGTTACGCCTCGCCCAGCTGGCCCGGGAAGATGCCGAAAGGGAAATCAAAGAAAAGGAGGAAGCTCGACGGAAAAAGGAACTCTTGCAGAAAATGGAGAAGGCCCGAAACGAACCTGTGAACGACTCGGACATGGTGGACAAAATGTTTGGTTTCTTGGGAACAACGTCTTCTTTGCCCGGACAAGAAGGACAAGCACCTAATGGCTTTGAGGTAACAAAAGGTTCTGCTTGTGCCAAATTTTAATGCATGTGCAAATGCTTATGGCATAGCCTTTCTCATATGTTTATTGCTTTCATGGGAAAAATACATAGAGCAGTGGTTTTCAACCTGTGTGTTCCCAGGTGTTTTGCCCTACAACTCCCATAAATCTCAGCCAGTTTACCAGCTGTTTGTTGAAGTTCAGCCTGTGATTGTGTTTCAGGATCAGAGTGCTTTGGATGTGGGGAATGATGTAAATGAGGTTCAAGATGGCAACAGTTTGGTCAGTGATATTGATGCAGAGAATGACAGAGAGACACCTGTTCAAAGTGTGGTTTCCCATGAGAATGTTCCTACAGGGTATAGGGATGATGGTTTACTCAGAGTTCCCAGGATTTGGGGCTTGAAAACAACTTGGAACTTGCAGAAACTAATGAGCATATAGATAGGTGGGCAGAAATTAGTCAAAACAGACAGGCCAAGCAATGCCTTCGGCGTTTTGCCAGGTTTCAATAGAAAAAGATAAGGGCCGCTGAAGGAAAGCGAAACCAGTTTCTGTGTGCTTGGAAAGGCTTAAAAGTTCCAAGCATGGAAAATACAGTCAGATGAAGCATCATTTAGAATCATGTTCTTGTCCTCATCTTATAGAAGCCTTGCTTGGAAGATGCATGCTTAAGGATTTCTTGTTTCCTGGTTTGGTTTTTGTCTCTTGGGATTACCTGCTCATGCCTTGGATCAACACTTCCTGGTTCTTTGGATTTTGTTAGAGAGTTGTGGACTTTGTTTTTGGGCATTGCTGAACTCTACCTTGAACTAATTGGTTCCTGCTTATCTTTTTTACCTTATTAGATTTACCTTTTCCTTTAAAGTGTTTTTATTTTACTTTGCTGTTTTTACTTATCTTCAATAAAAGGATTGTTTTCCTATTCAATGTGTGGTGTTTTATAGTCAGAGGGTTATTCCTTTCCTGGAGTGCAACACTGTTAGGATTTCTGGGTGTTGAAGGCCAGAACATCTGGGGACCCACAGGTTGAGAACCACTGACATAGAGGTTCCTTTAAACATTAATAGCACTGGCCAATGCACATTTTGGTGTCTCAAATGTCAGTCCTGTTTCTGGGTATATTTGACTCTGACTCAAAAAATGGCACCAGTTTCCCACGATCAGGTCTAGTGTTTGAGATACAGAACATATGCCATATGTTGGGCAGGAAAAATGAAATGCAAAGAGACAGAATGGGGGATGTCTGGCTTGAGAGCAGTACATGTGAAAAAGATCTTGGAGTCCTTGTGGACAACAAGTTAAACATGAGCCAACAACACGATGCAGCAGCAAAAAAAGCCAATGGGATTTTGGCCTGCATCAAGAGGAGTTTAGTGTCTAGGTCCAGGGAAGTCATGCTACCCCTCTATTCTGCCGTGGTTAGACCACACCTGTAATACTGTGTCCAGTTTTGGGCATCACAATTGAAGGAAGATGTTGCCAAGCTGGAATGTGTCCAGAGGAAATATTTTAAAAAATAAGAAGAATCGCCCAGAGATAACAGGAACACTGGAGATAGCACTGCTGTCATTTATTGATGATGTTAAAATACCAAAAGAACTAAAAGAAGTAATTGCCAATGTGGTAACAGCAGCAAGATTGTTAATAGCTAAAAAATGGAAAGAAGGAGAGGAGTGCCAATTGGATGAGTGGTATAGGGAGATCTGGGACATTGCAATAAATGATAAACTGACAGGAAACATAAAGGTTAAAAGAGGATTATATAAAAAAAGATGATTTTGGGAAGGTTTGAGAGAAATTGATAGAATATGTATATATAGAATGTAAGGGGAACAAGCCTGTAATAGAAACAACTGATTTTTGGAAATAAGTATTATAATAGGCTGGTCTGGGGTGAAGGGTCAGCACTAGGGGATTGGACAATATGTAATGAAGCAGGAGGATGAAATATTATAGGCATTAAGGCACACCTGTTCTGTACAATTTTTCAGGGGAAATTGATAAGTATAAGAATGTTTAAACACTGAATATGTTAAAACTACAATAAATAAAAGTTTTAAAAAAGAAGGGAGATGTTGACAAGCTGGAGAAGTCATAGGGAGGAGGGAGCAAGCTTGTTTTCTGCTGCCCTGGAGACTAGGAAAACGGAGCAATGGCTTCAAACTACAGGAAAGGAGATTCTACCTGAACATGAGGTAGAACTTCCTGACTGTGAGAGTTGTTCAGCAGTGGAACTCTCTGCCTCAGTGTGTGGTGGAGACTCCTTCTTGTACTGTCAACCTTTCAATCAGCAAGATATTCTGCAGCTAGCGGTTTAACCCGCTGTGCTAAAACCCGGCCCTCAGATTCAGCCTCAGCAGCAACACTGGCAACACACCCAGATCCAAAGCAAAATAAATACAAAAAAATAGAATCTTAGACTCATAGAGAGGGAAGAAACTGCAAGGTGAAATTAAATCACCAATATTTTCTCTGCAGGATCTCGAGAGGGTTTCAAAAGACCTCGAGGAAGATGATCTGGATACGGCCTTACCTTTGCCCGAGGAAGAGGAAGAAGACCTCTCCGAGTACAAGTTTGCAAAGTTTGCTGCCACTTATTTCCAAGGAACAACTACACACACCTACATTCGCCGGCCTCTCAAGCAGCCGCTCCTGTATCATGAGGATGAAGGAGACCAGCTGGTGAGTCTCCATGAACCATTTGGTAGAAAACAGTATGTCACATAACTGTCCTAATTTGGCAGGAGTAATCCAGACTACTATATATACCAGGCATGGGCAAACTTTCACCCTCCAGGTGTGTTGGACTGCAACTCCTACAATTCCTAACAACCGGTAGGCTGTTAGGAATTGTGGGAGTTGAAGTCCAAAACACTTGGAGGGCTGAAGTTTTTCCATGCCTGGTAAATACAGTAATCCTTTGTTATTTTATTTTGGCTCTTCATAGAAATATACCATGGGATACATTCACACAGACTTTTTCATCGTTCCTGTTCTCTCTATTGAAAACCATTGATTGCTAGTTCATACATCTTCATCTGTGTTTGATGGATCACATCATTTGAGTCTTGGTGGCACCGGATTTCACTGTTTCTGGGTGAAATCAAGAGTTTTCGATGACTATTTTGTTCTTTTTGGAGGAGGCTGTTGTCTAGTTGTCTGACTCGTAGTCTCTCTCCGTCATCCATGGCAGTTGCTGATAAAACAATTTCTTTTATTTCCAAAACAAACCAACAAAAGGCAGCCCTTGCAGTGTGGATCACAATCCTTCGCTTCATGGGGGACCTTCCCGAACCAAAATATCACACAGCGATGAGCGATGGCAGCGAAAAGATTCCTGTGATGACCAAAATATATGAGACGTTGGGGAAGAAGACTTACAAAAAGGAGCTCCAAGCCTTGCAAGGTGAAGGAGAGGTAGGTGAAACCTTTCCTTATCTAATGATTGAAGTCATATTTATATTTTACATCCTGTCTTTTTCCCAAGATGGGATTCAAGGCAACTATAGCCTTCATCTTAGTCAGATGTAATAGATTAATTTTTTTAAAAATAAACACTCGGCGTGAACAGAGGTAGGATGTATCTAAGCAGGAGGGTTTAAAAGATTATATATTATGAGACCAACCCAACTGGTAGTTAAAGTGCTTCTGATGACATTTTTCAGGAAACCGATCAGAGCAGGGCATTGTTTCCTTTATTCAGGGAAGGCACACTGGAACAGCCACGTTTTGAGGCTAAAAGCTGCCAATGTGGGGGCTTGTCTGATATCCTTGGGGAGTGAGTTCCAGAGTCGGGGGGCCACCATAGAGAAGGCCCTCTCCCTCGTCCCCACCAATCGCACCTGCGAGGGGGGCGGGAGCAAGAGCAGGGCCTCTCCAGATCATCGAAGAGATTGCATGGGTTCATAAACAAAAATGCGGTCAGCACAATTGGCTATGCTGGAGGGGGATTCTCATTCCACAAGTTCTGACTGTTCAAGCATAGCTCACTTTTTCTTTCTTTTGACCATTTCTCTTGTCTTTTGCAGAGTGCTCACATTGAAGGACACAAGAAGAACAGCGTACGCCACAAACTGGTCTCTTTGACACTCAAAAAGAAATCCAAGTTAACTGAAGAGGTGAGTAAGTAATGCACCAAGACATACCTGACTCATTAATATCACCTTTGTCCAACTCGCTATTCAACATGGTGCCAAATACCCTGATAGAAACACATGAGGAGCAAAGTATCCCCCAATGTCCAACTGTTCTTATTTGGCAGGGACAGTCCCTGTTACTCCTCTGTCATCCCACGTGTTTTAAAAATGTCCTGGTTTCCTTCTCCCACATTACTGCTTTGTCTTTAGCTTATTTCTTTTGGTGCAAATGGAATTCAAAGTGCCAAAGTAGTTTGTGTTTGGTTAACTCAGCAGGAGAGAGAGGAGAAGAAAGGAAAGAATTGTGCTCTTCCCAGTAGAATCAGGAAAAGGCAAACTCTATATTTCTTCTAGCTTGTTTGTTCTTCATCATTTTGCCCATACTTGGTGACTGCAAAAGGAAACGCCAGAGGAGTGTTAACCCTTTCCTATGCCATCCAAAGCTTATATGTGCATATGTCTGTGTTTGTGTTTGTGTGTGTGTATGGCTGGGATTACACTTAAAATGTGTTTACCTGGAATTACCTGTTCCAACTTACAAATGCATTCAACTTAAGAACAAACCTACAGAACCTATCTTGCTTGTAACTTGGGGACTGCCTGTACTGCCACATATGTACCAACTACACACACACACACATATACATACACATACTAGCTGTACCCACCACGCATTGCTGTGGCCAACCTTCCCTCCTTCTTTCTCTCCTTCTTTCTTTCTCTCCTTCCTTCCCTTTTTTCCTTTTCTTCCTCTTCCCTCCCTTCCCCTCTTTTCTTTCCCTTCCTCTTTCACCCCATTCTTCCTTCCTTACCTATTATTGGACTGCAACTTCTAATAGTCCTCCTGATTGATTGATTGATTGATTGATTGATTGATTGATTGATCTGTCTACCTACCTATCTATCTATCACTATGTAATCTATCTATTTTATCTATCCGGAGGATTGCTGAGAGTTGCAGTCCAGGAATAGGAAATATGTACAGATTGGGATGCTCTCAAAGAAATCCAAGTAGAAGAAAGCTTGCAGCTTGGAAGCAGTGCATCTGGATCATCCTCCTCTCCTAAAGGGCCTGGTCTAGGGGATGCAATTACCCTATTACAGGGAAAACCATCTGATCCCTAATCCATCTAAAACACAGACATGCGCCTTTCACCTTAAGAACAGACAAGCATCCCGAGCTCTGAGGATTACCTGGGAAGGGAATCCCACTGGAGCATTGCAGCGCACCCAAATACCTGGGAGTCACTCTGGACCGTGCTCTGACCTACAAGAAGCACTGCCTGAACATCAAGCAAAAAGTGGGTGCTAGAAACAATATCATACGAAAGATGACTGGCACAACCTGGGGATCACAACCAGACACAGTGAAGACATCTGCCCTTGCGCTATGCTACTCTGCTGCTGAGTACGCATGCCCAGTGTGGAACACATCTCACCACACTAAAACAGTAGATGTGGCTCTTAATGAGACATGCTGCATTATCACAGGGTGTCTGCGCCCCACACCACTGGAGAAATTACACTGCTTAGCCGGTATTGCACCACCTGACATCTGCCGGGAAGTAGCAGCCAATAGTGAAAGGACTAAGGCAGAGACATCTCCAGCTCATCCCCTGTTTGGGTATCAGCCAGTACGTCAATGACTTAAATCAAGACATAGTTTTCTTAGATCTACAGAGACACTCGCTGGAACACCTCAGCAAGCAAGAGTCCAAAAGTGGCAGGCCCAAACCCAGCACCTCAATCCATGGGTGATACCAGATGAGAGACTCCCCCCTGGGCACACAGAAGACTGGGCGACTTGGAAGGCGCTGAACAGACTGCGCTCTGGCACCACGAGATGCAGAGCCAACCTTCAGAAATGGGGCTACAGGGTGGAATCCTAGGCATGCGAGTGCGGAGAAGAACAAACCACTGACCACCTGCTGCAATGCACCCTGAGCCCTGCCACATGCACCATGGAGGACCTTCTTGCGGCAACACCAGAGGCACTCCAAGTGGCCAGATACTGGTCAAAGGACATTTAACCAACTACCAAGTTTGCAAAATCTGTGTTTTTTTGGTTTTTTTTAATCTGTGTGTTTGTTTTGTTCTGTTAGAAATGTAATACAATGGTATGGTTGCTGATGACATGATAAATAAATAGGGGATGCTGGGAGTGGTAGTCCTGAAACGAGTATGGACATGCTATTGTGTGTTTTGTTTGCCAGGGGAGTCGTTTATGCGCCTGTGCTGTAGCATCTTTTTATTTTATTTTATTTTTTACTTAGTCCCTTCCGCTGTGTTTTTCAGTGTTTTTTTATGAGTGATGGTCCCTCATTGGCCTGATAGGTGTATTGTGTCCAAATTTGGTGCCAATTCGCCCAGTGGTTTTTGAGTTATGTTAAACCCACAAACAAACATTATCTCTTCCTTCTGTTTCGCCAGGTGACCAAACGCCTCCATGATGGTGAGTCCACCGTGCAGGGCAACAGCATGCTTGAGGACCGGCCCACCTCCAATTTGGAAAAGCTCCATTTCATTATTGGTAATGGCATCCTCAGGCCAGGATTAAGGTTAGATATTAGTGTGCAAAGAAGAAATACTTTCTGTGGGCATTCTTTTCAGTATAATTACATATACATACACATATGTATGAGCAATGGCATAGTTCCCTTTGGGGAGATTAATGTTGACAGGTTGTGCACTAGAATGAGGGCTTTATTGCACAAACAGGAATTGAAGCAGGACCATCAGCTGTGGTGAAAGTTCCTATTGCACAACTCCATGCACAATACTTTGCCAGTATGCCACTTCCATCACTGCAAATGCATCCCATGCTATTAATGGCAGCAAAGTTCATCAATAACCTCTGATCGTGCCATGATGTCTTAACTTACCTGTGCAGTGATCTTCATGAGCAGTGGTATTACACATGATTTTACGTACAGGGCAAGCCCTATTACTACGGATCAATTTTCTGGCGGTTGGATGTTGAAGAGGTTGCAAAATTGCTAAAAACACAAGGAGACCAGAAGAAGCCAGAAGTCCACATCTAGTTTTCAGCTTCAGCAAACTATATCCCTAGGAGCCATTTTAGGAATCCCAAGATATATATCTGTCTCAGGAGTGTGGTGGAGGCAGGGGCGGCTCAACCCATTACACAAAGTAAGCATTTGCAGTATAGTTGATTTTGCCCAGGGGCACTCTTGAGGCGCTCTTGGGAGAAAATAGACCTTGACATATATGAGTTGTAGTTACTGGGATGTATAGTTCACCTACAATCAAAGAGCATTCTGAACTCCACCAATGATAGAATTGAACCAAATATGGCACACAGAACTCCCACGACGAGCAGAAAATATATATCAATGATTGGTTGGGGGGAAGCGCCAAAATACTGTTTGCTTACCGTTGAAAATTACTTAGGGCCGCCTCTGGGTGGAGGCTCCTTCTTTGGAGGCTTTTAAGCAGAGGCAGGATGGCCATCTGCCAGGGGTGCTTTGAATGTGATTTTCCTGCTTCTTGACAGGGGGTTAGACTGGATGGTCCACCAGGTCTCTTCCAACTCTAGGATTCTATGATTCTGTGATTTTATCTCTATTGCAAATATTGATTGTGAGTTTTTAGGGCTGCATCTGTGAGTTTTTCGGGATGCATCTGTGGCTAGCATCTTCAGAGGTTCTGTTGCTAGTGAGGCAACCTGTGGAATGTGCAGATTGGGAGAAAGAAGCCTTGTCTGTTTAAAGAAATGTGAATCTTGTAATTAGTAAATGAGATTAGCATTTGAGTAGCCATGAAGCTGCAAAGTCAGTGAGGGTATCTGCGTAGAGGAAACTTGGCATTTGTTGCCTGGAGGAATCCTCTGTTTGGGAGGTGTTGGCTGTCTGGAGTTCCCCTGTTTTCAGAGTGGTATTCTTTATTTACCATCTTGATTCTGGTATTTTTTAATACTGGTAGCCAGATTTTGTTCATTTTCATGGTTTCCTCCTTTCTGTTGAAATTGTCCACATGCTTGTGGATTTCAGTGGCTTCTCTGTGTAGTCTGACATGGTGGTTGTGAGAGTGGTCCAGCATTTCTGCGTTCTCCAATCATATGCTGTGTCCAGGTTGGTTCATCTATGCTCTGCTATGGCTGACTCCTCTGGTTGAATTAGTCTGCAGTGCCTTTGATGTTCTTTGATTTTTGTCTGGGCGATGCTCCATTTGGTAGTCCCTATGTAGACTTGTCAGCTATCACAGAACACTTGAACCAACTGGGCCTCCTGTGGGAAGGAGTTCCATAGTCTGACCAACCTTCTTCCTACGTCTTCACCAATCAATGATCATGAATGTAGGAATTACATAACTCCACCCAACTTAAGATCTGTCTCAGCAGGCTTATTTTCTGCTGCCCTGGAGACTTGGACATGGAACAGTGGCCTCAAACTACAGGAAAGGAGATTCCATCTGAACATTAGGAAGAACTTCCAAACTGTGAGAGCTGTTTAGCAGTGGAACTCTCTGCCCCAGAGTGTGATGGAAGCTCCTCCTTTGGAGACCTTTAAGCAGAGGCTGGATGGCCATTTGTCAGGGATGCTTTGAATGAGATTATCCTGCTTCTTGGCAGAATGGAGTTGGACTGGATGGCCCACAAGGTCTCTTCCAACTCTATGATTCTGTGATTCTATTTTTTTTTTGTCGTGTCAGGAGTGACTTCAGAAACTGCAAGTCGCTTCTGGTGTGAGAGAATTGACCATCTGCAAGGGCGTTGCTCAAGGGACGCCCGGATGTTTTCTATATGATGAGACCTGGCCTTCTAGAGAGTCCTCTACAATAAACACTCTTCACAGTGTATTGTACTGTCAACACCCATAATTTGACATGTCTACACAGCTGCTGTTTCATGGGTCTTGCAAATGAATGGGGTTAATCAGCGTGAAACCCAACATCTCCTTCTTTTCCCACTAGGGATGAAATTTATTGCCAGATCTGCAAACAGCTGAGCCAAAACCCTTCAAAAAGCAGCCATGCCCGAGGGTGGATCCTTGTGTCTTTATGTGTCGGGTGCTTCGCCCCTTCAGAAAAGTTTGTCAAGGTAAAATAGGGATGGGGAACGCAGAGCAGAAGACCTCTGTCATCCCTGCACCTCAGCAAAAGTACTAATGCAACTCGAAGTGACTTCATGCTCCAGTTTGGGCCAGTTGGTGCAAAGTTTATGTGGTTGAGCTTTGGGGGCTGTGAGGGATAAACTCATGCATTTGTTGCCTGTTTTGAGCCATTTTGAAATCTGGATCTATTCCTTATGTGTGCTGACAACAGTACATTCAGAAATGGAAAGTTCTCATTGCAGTGTTTTTTCTTGACTTCAGTATTTAAGGAACTTCATCAACGGAGGCCCTCCAGGTTACGCTCCGTATTGCGAAGAGAGGTTGAGGAGGACCTTCGCCAATGGGACCAGGACTCAGCCGCCAAGTTGGTTGGAACTCCAGGTAAAAAAGAAAGCAAGTGTGAACAGTGATGATGCCATTCTTCTGGCACACGATTGGTAGGATGAATACTCCTGTGATGAATTGCTCTTATAGGGAGCAGCCAGTCAAAGCTCTGTGGTACAGCACATTGTTTGTATGAGAAAAGTGTGGAGTTCAATCCATTTACTAATTATTTGAAATGTGAAACTCTGAAGCAGATTGAGAACCATGTTGGCTCTGTTAGATAGATAATGCACTGTTAGATAGGAATGCATTGGCTATAACCCTATTGTGCAAAACAGGTTGGAAAATACAGTTCTAATGGACATGTGGTCACACATCTACTAAAAGGTTAAGCGGGTGGTGATGTGGAACTGATGGGACATGCAAAGAGTTATGACCATGTGATAGGTATGATGAGAGTGTATGATGTATCAGGTATGATGTGTCCCTGGATGATGACGAGCAATAGGGTGGTATAAAATAGAACCACAGGTATACATTCTTTCTCTTGCTTTTCACCATATATAGCACATGGTGCAATGGGTTAAACCCTTGTGCCAGCAGGACTGCTGCTGAACAGGTCAATGGTTCAAATCCAAGGAGAGCAGGTTGAGCTCCCTCTGTCAGCTCCAACTTCACATGCGGGGACATGAGAGAAGCCTCCCACAAGGATGGTAAAGCATCAAACGTCGGGCAATACCTGGGCAACATCCTTGCAGATGGCCAATTCTCTCACACCAGAAGCAACTTGCAGTTTCTCAAGTCGCTCCTGATACAAAATAACCCATACCTCTTTTGCTGATAACTGTTACCATCATGAGTATATTTCTGCATCACTGATAGGACATCAGGGGACCCTGATGTGTGGGTATATAGCTGAACAAAAAGCAGTGTGTCAAGATTAAAAGCCTCCAATGTGAGTTTGGATGAAAACTTATTCAAGGAGTTTTATTAAATACTGAGATGCAAAAGGTCAGACTGTGCAGTAAAAATCTGCTTCTCAACTGATGAGGACTCTGCTATGCATGGGTTTAGTATCATAGCTTGCCTCTGAGACAATCAGCCTGGTGTGCAGCGTATTTAGGGAGGACGTGATTGAGGAAGGAGAAAACTATAAATCATGCACCTATCCCACTTTTGACAGGCTCTCATTAAATAAAGCTAAGAGCTCATATTATAATCCATACCAAAATCTAATGACTTGCTTTTCCCTCATAGGCCACCAAATCGAAGAAGCCAATCATGTTGCCTGTTACATTTATGGATGGGACGACAAAGACTCTGTTGACAGATTCGGCAACGACAGCCAAAGAGCTCTGCAATTCTTTGGCTGACAAAATCAGCTTGAAGGACCACTTTGGATTCTCACTGTACATCGCTCTGTTCGACAAGGTAAGCCACTAAAGAAGATAGGGGAGAAAACTTATATGGTTAGACTACTGCAATGTACTCTCCTTTGGGCTTCATTTGTACCAAGTTTGGAAAGTCCATTTAGTCCAAAATATGGCAGCCAAATTGGTTATGGGAACAACCAGGACTGAGCATATCACACCCATACTAAAGTCACTCCACTGGATGCCAGTTAGTTTCCAGGAAAAGTACGAAGTGTTGAAAGTCCTACATGGTTTGGGTCCAGGTTCCCTACAGAATGGCGTTCTCCCATATAATCCATGGCCCCTTCAAACACTGAGCATCCAGAGCCCAATTGGTATCCATTACTCAGAAGAACTTTTCATTGGCTGCCCCCAAAGAAGACTGTCGAATGACCTACTGGAAGAGATCCAACAACTAAATGAGCTGTCAGAATTTGCAAAACAACTGAAGACCTATCTCTTCTGGCATTTTACCTGCATATATCTTGTTATAAGTCCATGAATAGTGTTACATTTTATCTCTTTGTTTTAACCATGTTGTAACCTGCCTCGATCCCCAAAGGTGAGGTGGGTAATACATTATAATAAATGAGTCCCTTTGGGGAGATAGGGCGGTATATAAATATATTATTTGATACAAGATTAGTACACAGCAAGATTAGTACACAGCAAACAATATAACTACACTGGCTGTTGGATTGGATCACACGTCTGACATTTCCCAAGTGTCTAGGGCTATGAATATCAGCGAATAATGCATGCAGATACGAGTAGGGTGACCTTTTGTCAGCACTGATTGTTTTCAAGTGCTGGCCAAGGTCTTTAGGCACTGCAGCCAGCATGCCAAGTACCACTGGGACCACCTTGACTGGTTTATGCCAGAGTCTTTGCAGTTCGATCTTTAAATCCTCATATTGTGTCAGCTTTTCCAGTTGTTTCTCTTCAATCCTGCTGTCTCCTGGGATTGCAACATCAATGATCCACACTTTGTTTTTTATCATGATCGTGAGGTTAGGAGTCTTGTGCTCCAAAACTCTATCAGTCTGAATTCGAAAATCCCAGAGTAGTTTGACATGTTCATTTTCTATAACTTGTGATCCTACCAGTTTTTTGTCACAGGCAGATGGTATTTGTGGCACAAGGTCCAATTTATTATCATCATCATCATCATCATCCCATTCTCTTTCAATGTACCAGATAAAGAACTTGGCTTAAGAGGCACAGAGTGGCCACAATAACTTTTTTGAACTACAAAAGGGTTCAAATTGGTCCGGCCAAAATCAAGAGCTTTAAATAGGCTCCAATAGTTTTTTGCACAATCCGTCAACCGCATTCACAGGGTTCTAGGGACCGGGAACCCCCATAAAAATAAAAAAACGCAAATAAAGAAATTGTTATTGTTTTACCTGAAAGAATTCCTCTCTGGGAATGTTTAGATCTTTTAGCATGACTTTATGATTTTATAGTCATCTTTCACAGGAACCTGACCCTAAAATCATTTTAGAGATATTCTCTATAGAAATTCCCAGGACCTGGAGAATGGTAACTATAGAAGCACCCTGGAGAACAAAGGGATTCATTTTAAATCCTATCCACAAATAACACTATGTGACAATACTGTCAGTGGCATCGGCAAGCACAGCAAGGCACAGGAAACAGATCGATCACAGCCACTTTACGCTATAAACTACTTTATTTACAGCTATATACATTAGAAGCTACTTAACACATCGTAAAACTTGCTTCCAGACCCATCGATAGTTGCATTGCGAACATACAGAACAGTGTTATCAGTACTAGTCCACACCTTCTGCATTCCAGAGTGACGTATGATGCACGACGCACGACGCTGCATCAATTTGCTTCTATACACTTGATCTATGACCTCTCTAGGAATGCTAACTCTTTCCGCACAGGAATACACTCAGCACATAGCTACTGCATTTTAAACATACATACATACATACTTTGAAATCTACATTACAAATTGAAAACAGCTCCAACAAATACTTGTGGGGAAAAGTCTGTTCCTGGTTTGGAAATGTTATTTTGTGTTTAACTATGTGTTACTTACTTTGAAAGTAGTTGTTCTACTCCAGAAATTTCTGGTCTGTGGCTGCCACAAACTATGTTGAATTGGTTGAAACTCTATGAGATATTCTTTGAAAAACTACAGCAAAATGTGCTGCAGGATGTCCCCCAAAAACAAAGTTTTAGCAGTTATATTGTATGATAATTATAATGTGTGATAAAAGCAATTAGAAAATGACATTTATAACCTAGGAACAAAAATCATGTTACATAATATAATCAAAAGTAAAACTTGTAAATGGATTAGTGTACTAATAGTGATGTTGGTAGTGGTGATGATGTCAGTGATGATGGCCTGCCACCATCTCATGCAATAGTCAAGGTGTTTTGAGCTCCAAAACTGTTCTCTACAGAAAGCCCCGTCTTCACAATAGAGCCACTAATTGTTAGAGGCTAAAAGTTGACCCATTTCTTCTCCTCTTCCCAGGTCTCTTCCCTTGGAAGTGGCAGTGACCACGTGATGGACGCTGTATCTCAGTGTGAGCAATATGCCAAAGAGCAAGGAGCCCAGGAACGCAATGCTCCTTGGAGGCTTTTCTTCAGGAAGGAGATCTTCACGCCTTGGCACAACCCGAACGAAGACAATGTTGCCACAAACCTCATTTATCAGCAGATTGTGAGAGGAGTGAAGTTTGGAGAGTACCGGTGTGATAAAGTAAGTTGTCGCCCCCTAAAAACCGGAGATACTCTGATACAGGCATGGGCAAACTTTGGCCCACCCGGTGTTTTGGACTTCAACTCCCACAATTCCTAACAGCCTACTGTACTAATACAATGGATACTCCTTTGGTGATTTTTGATTAGAATATAAATCAATAGGAATGAAAACATTTGCTCATTCAACGTGAGAGCCCTAACACCAAACAGGCTTCATTGTTGCATCACAGGGCCAAATTTGGATGGTTAAGTCTAGTCAGTATGATTGTTGATTTAGATTGCATGGTGCCATGACTCATCTGTCTTCATTTTGAAACATATTGTTCTTTATTTCTTCTTTGTGATTTGTTTTTTTTATTCTTTATCTATTCTTTATTATTTATCTATTCTTATTTGTGATTTATTTATTTGTTTATTCTTTGTGATTTTGTGATTTATTTGATTCACACAAATAGGTTGTACTATACCATTCAGAACTTTCTAGTGTTTTGGCATACCCTATGCTCCATGACCATATGCTTTCCACTTATATCTTCCATTCCATCTCATCCACCACAGTAGCAGCATCTAAGGAACGTTTCAGAGCTATTTTATGTACTTTATATATTGTTTTGACCATTGAATGGTTTTCTCTATTTTGGGTTTGTTTGTTTTTTGTTTTTTGTTTTTTTCACATTCTGCATGAAACAACAAGTTAAACATGAGCCAACAATGTGATGTGGCGGCAAAAGAAGCCAATGGGATTTTGGCCTGCATCAATAGGAGCATAGTGTCTAGATCTAGGGAAGTCATGCTACCCATGCTCTATTCTGCCTTGGTTAGACCACACCTGGAATATTGTGTCCAATTCTGGGCACCACAGTTCAAGAGAGATATTGACAAGCTGGAATGTGTCCAGAGGAGGGCGACTAAATGATCAAGGGTCTGGAGAACAATCCCTATGAGAAGCGGCTTAAGGAGCTGGGCATGTTTAGCTTGGTGAACTAGTTCTAATGTATATTTTTAACTATTTTAATGTATATGGATGTATTTATTATGTGTTTTATATCATGTTTGGTATGGAATTGTTGCCTGTTTGGAAGCTATTCTGAGTCCCTCCTTGGAGGTAGAGAAGGACAGGGTATAAATGCCTGAAATAATAATAATAAATAATAAATAATAAACATTATTTAAGCAAAGGAGTTTGTGTGAAATAAGCCATACCAGCTTGCATTCATTCTTATGCAGCAAAGGTGCCGACTAGTATGGTGCACTTACTTAGGTGATTACTCATTGTCCAAGTAGGATAGTCTTCCAAGATTGGTGTACTCGCGGTGGGTCCGTAGGTGACTGTGGAGCCCTATTCTTGAGTTGCATGTTCTCCCATAGTGATGGCATCAGTTTCCAGGTGGAAGGTGGTCGAAGTTGGGGTTGGCTTGACGAGCCTTCCTCTTGGCACATTTTTCTCTTTTGCCCTCCATTCGTGCCTCTTCAAATTCTACAGCACTGCTGGTCACAGCTGACCTCCAGCTGGAGCACTCAAGGGCCAGGGCTTCCCAGTTCTCAGTGTCTATGCCAGAGTTTTTCCTGCCCACCAACATTCTGTTTTCCATTCTTGAGTTCAGAGTAGAGCAACTGCTTTGGGAGACAGTGGTCAGGCATTCGGACAACGTGGCTGGTCCAGCAGAGTTGATGGCAGAGGATCATCGCTTCAATGCTGGTGGTCTTTGCTTCTTCCAGCATGCTGACATTTGTCTGCTTGTCTTCCCAGGAGATTTGCAGGATTTTTCAGAGGCAACGCTGATGGAATCGTTCCAGGAGTTGCATGTAACGTCTGTAGATAGTCCACGTCTCGCAGGTGTATAGCAGGGTTGGGAGGACTACAGCTTTATAAAGAAGTACCTTGGTATCCCTACGGATATCCCGCTCCTCAAACACTCTCTGCTTCATTCATAAAAATGTTGCACTCGCAGAGCTCAGGCAGTGTTTGTTTAACCTACTATTTGCTAGTAAAATTGTGTTGCAAAATTATGCCGATCTAAAAAGTGTTTGGGAAGTTCTGCCCTAGAGAGTGTTGGCAGCAGAATTGTTTATGCGTTTAGAAAAAGAGTAGTCATAAAACAGAATTGGAGGGAACTATAAGAGCCCTACAATCAATCTCCCAACCATGCATGGATGTTGGTTTAACAGGAGAGCAGCACCCATTCAAAACAAAAGATTAATCTTTCAATGGTTAAATTATTATGGCACATCGCCTCAGTAGAAGGTAAACATGTTCTGTCTTAATTAGACAATGCAAGTGAGCAACAAATATTTCTTGATATATTTTCTTTCCTTTGTTTATTCCAAATGCCCTCTGCACAGGAAGAAGACTTGGCCGAATTGGCTTCCCAGCAATATTATGTGGATTATGGGTCCGAGATGGTCTTGGAGCGACTCCTGAACTTGATCCCCTCCTACATCCCAGACAGAGAGATCACGCCTTCAAAAACCATTGAGAAGTGGGCTCAGTTCATCATTGCAGCCCATAAAAAGGTCAGCAGTTTGGATTTTACTCTCAATGGGCTTTAGCAGAGTGGGTTAAACCGCCAGCTGCAGAAAATCTTGCCGATCGAAAGGTCGACAGTTCAAGCCCGGATTGGGGTGAGCTCCCAACTATCAGCCCAACATTTTGCTCATCTAGCAGTTTGAAAACAGCAATGTGAGTAGATAAATAGGTATCGCTTTGGCGGGGAGGTAATAAAAGGCGCCCGTGCAGAAATACCGGTGAATCGATCAGGAGAGCATCTAAAGACAACAAAGCTCCTCGGCATGGAAGATGGAGCAACAGCACCCTCTCTGGCCAGAGTCGAGAACAGCCTTCAGATGCCAGAGATAGAAAAAGATGGGAGGCCTTTACCTGTGTTTATGTACCGTTTGTGTTTGTTAATTGTGTAACAGGATTGAATGTTTGCTGTTGTTGCAACTCAGGGTAGTTTCACCTTGCTCCCAAACACCACCACACCAGAGTTGTAGATTTTGTAGTTTATTGAAAAAAAGGCAGAGTCAAAACATAGAATAAGAAATGCAAATGTTCCATAAGCAGGACAAAGGCTTAAATGCAAAACCACAGTTCCCAAGATCCAAAGGCAAAACATGAAGCATAATCCTTCAGGCAATGATCAAACAAGAGTCCACAAGACCCAAAATCCCAGATACAGGAAGCCAAAAGCGAGCTGCTTAAAGCCAAAGTTAATCCATAGGAGTTTGCATGGAAAGAGCCACGTTGAACTGACAACTCCCGTTTGTCAGCCAGAAGGCTAAATACTCTTTGCAATCATGAACGCATTGCGATGACCCTTGACTGACTTGGCTTCTCGCTTACCAGCTAAGCGAGAGCTCCTCCGGACCCTTAATTCTAAGCGTTCTTGCCTGCTCATTATTTCACTATCTTCAAGGTTCTCTTTATTTTGGTCCAGCTGAACTAGATCACTGTGAGAAGGCTGGGGAGGCGAAGACAATTCCACCTGGCCATTATCTATCCCACTGACATCCTTTTCACCTGAGAACTGACTTGATGTTTCTCCTGCTGCCTGTCTGAGGCAGGCACAACAGAAATCTGAATCCCATCATCCTCTTCATCAGGGATCTCTGGCTCATAAGACCCCCACAGGGTTCAGTTTCAGACTCAGAATTAAACTGAGTCACAACAGCTGTATATGTGTACAGTAATCTGTCCTGAGTCCTCTCAGGGAGATAGGGCAAAATATAAATAAAGTATATATTATATTAATGTGACCAGAGAAAGCTTTTTAAAGAGCCATGGGAACATTAACACTACACTTTTAATTGCCAGGGCAACATTTTAAAGAGTTCTGGGATTGGCAGTTTAGGCAGGTTTATTTAGAATCATCAGCATGAATCTCTACTGCCTCTCCAAACTACACATCCCAACATTCCATATGATGGAACCATAATAGTTGAAATGGGATCATAGTTCTACCTCTTCATCTTCTTTGCAGGGAATCTATACCCAGAAGAGAACAGACCCCCAAAAAGTCAAGGAGGAAGTGGTGGATTTTGCTCGTTTCAAGTGGCCTTTGCTGTTCTCCAGGTTCTATGAAGCTTTCAAATTCTCAGGTAAGCCACTTGTAAGGGCAGTTTTTTGTGTGTCAGTGTTAGGGACCCCATTTCAGGGTCCCTACATTGGGTCCAGTCGCAGGAGGCAGAAAGACAAACGCCCAGTCTCAGGAGAAGTACAAAAGCAAGGTTTATTTTCATCATGAAGAGATGGCCAGCTGCACCAAACACGCAGGTCTTGGTACTTTCAAGAGGCTCCCGTGCCATGTCTCTCAGACTCACATTATATAGACAAGACTCTTTGGCACTGCAGCAAAAGTTATCCGATTACAAACTACCACCTAGGCTTAATTCCTTATTTGGCACATTGATTAACTGACTTCTTCTAAATCACATGATTTCTTGACAATGGAAAGCACAAGACCCAAATAGCTCTTTCCCCCCATATGTGGCAATAAACACTTTGTCAGCTTTTTAGCCTTCTGGCTGAACTGTCTTGTGAAAGTTGTTGATTGCACATGTTTCTTAGGTGCTAACCACAAATGTTCCAGTCAAGATGGACCCTTAGAGGAAGCTCATTTCTAAATACAGAGGGGGTGCATTTTAAACTTAGATTTCTCGAGTTTCATGATTATTGCCCTATCCTCAGGAGTGACTTAAGAAACTGCAAATCGCTTCTGGTGTGAGAAAATTGGCCGTCTACAAGGACGTTGCCTAGGGCACGCCTGGATGTTTTGATATTTTACCATCCTTGTGGGAGCCTTCTAATCATAGAATCAAAGAGTTGGAAGAGACCTCGTGGGCCATCCAGTCCAACTCCCTGCCAAGAAGCAGGAATATTGCATTCAAATCACCCCTGACAGATGGCCATCCAGCCTCTGTTTAAAAGCTTCCAAAGAAGGAGCCTCCACCACACTCCGGGGCAGAGAGTTCCACTGCTGAACGGCTCTCACAGTCAGGAAGTTCTTCCTAATGTTCAGATGGAATCTCCTTTCTTATAGTTTGAAGCCATTGTTTCACGTCCTAGTCTCCAGGGAAGCAGAAAACAAGCTTGCTCCCTCCTCCCTGTGGCTTCCTCTCACATATTTGTATATGGCTATCATATCTCCTCTCAGCCGTCTCTTCTTCAGGTTAAACATGCCCAGCTCCTTAAGCCGCTCCTCATAGGGCTTGTTCTCCAGACCCTTGATCATTTTAGTCGCCCTCCTCTGGACACATTCCAGCTTGTCAATATCTCTCTTGAATTGTGGTGCCCAGAATTGGACGCAATATTCCAGGTGTGGTCTAACCAAAGCAGAATAGAGGGGTAGCATTACTTCCCTAGATCTAGACACTATGCTCCTATTGATGCAGGCCAAAATCCCATTGGCTTTTTTTGCCGCCACATCACATTGTTGGCTCATGTTTAACTTGTTGTCCACGAGGACTCCAAGATCTTTTTTCACACGTACTGCTCTCGAGCCAGGCATTGTCCCCCATTCTTTGTATTTCTTTTTTCCTGCCAAAGTGGAGTATCTTGCATTTGTCCCTGTTGAACTTCATTTTGTTAGTTTTGGCCCATCTCTTTAATCTGTCAAGATCATTTTGAATCCTGCTCCTGTCCTCTGGCGTATTGGCTATCCCTCCCAATGTCCCCGCATGTGGAGTTGGAACTAACATAGGGTACTCATCCATGCTCTCCCCAGATTTGAACCTGTCGGCCTTCAATCCTGCCGGCACAAGGGTTTAGCCCATTGTGCCACTGGGGGCTCCTGGTAAGGGCAGTGAATAATGGACATTGGTGCCAAAGACTGTGATACATTATGTTCTGCCTTAATGACGGTACCATATTCCTGGCACACTCTAGGAACCAAAGTGCATTTTGTATTTCCATTAACCTCACAATTGCAGCATAGTTAATGACCCTTGATGAAATATATTCTGTCTAAAAGATGCGACCTGGAATGTATCTTCTCTGCACTTAATACAGATGGCTTTTTTGATCTCAGGATGACTTTTGTGGCTAATTTACTGATCAATGGTTATATTTTCACCAGAAACAAGCAAACCACACTGTTCACTTCTGTTGTTCTTGTTTACTCACAGGTCCCAGCCTTCCCAAAAATGATGTAATAGTAGCTGTGAATTGGACAGGAGTGTACTTTGTAGATGAACAGGAACAGGTCCTTCTGGAACTTTCCTTTCCGGAGATCACTGCTGTCTCCAGCAGCAGGTAAGGCAATGAAATATCAAGTCTCGAGTAAATTCATGGGATGAAGCCATGCATTGGATTGATGTATGCAACCCTAAACTTTGTAAGGAAATGGTAAGCCATTGACATAAGCACACAGCCCTAAGTATCCAGCAAAACTGATTTGTTGTTTCTGTCTAAGACTAAACTCATAACAATACTTTGAAGAGAAGGAGCAATAGAAGAAAAACTACCAGCTATCGGTGCATGTGTTGAATACTGTTATAGTTTCCTAATGGATTTCAGTTGCTGTTATAGGCTGGGTTTGTTTGCCCAGATAATGGAAGTGCATTTTTAACATTTTGGTGGGAAGACTCTGGCAATAGTCTCAGTGCAACACCCTCTCGGCATAGAGTAAATATCCACATGTGGATCTACACTTCTGTGAGACATGGACCCATTGGGTACTCTAGTAGCACATGGTGCACAGCAAACTATGCATTGTATGAACACATCCAGTCCTTCACATCTGTTGCACCACGTTGCTATTCTGTCTGAGAGTTGCATATGCAACTCTCAGACAGAATAGCAACGTGGTGCAACAGATGTGAAGGACTGGATGTGTTTATACAATGCATAGTTTGCTGTGCACTATGTGCTACTAGAGTAGAGTGCAGCATATCTCCACGTGTAGGCATTTGTGGTATGCTTGAGTTGCAACTTTTTCCTATCATTTATTCTTCTAGAGGAGGGAAACTCCAAGGACAGAGCTTCACCTTGGCCACCATTAAAGGAGATGAGTACACGTTCACTTCCAACAACGCAGAGGACATCCGGGACCTTGTGGTGACATTTCTGGAAGGGCTGAGGAAGAGATCAAAATACGTTGTCACACTCCAGGACAACCCAAATCCAAGTAAGGAAACTGAGCTCATAGTGAAGATTGTGGTGAAATTGCAATAATGAGTTCCTGAATTGGGCCAGGATACACTAAGGCCCCTCCATCCCCTCATGTTAGGTGGCTTGCTTGCTTGCTAGCTTGTTTTCCTGCTTGCTTGCTTTTTTCCCTCTCTCTCTCCTTCCTTCCCTGCAACTCTCAGTCACAAAACAATGGTGCATGTCATGAATGACTTTTCAATGACTTTGAAGCATAGGTTCTTTTTATTGCAATTTCCAGTGTGAGAAGGTATATCAGATTACAGAAAACATTTAGACAAAGAATGACATTGGACATACAGACATACAGATTCTATGCAACTACATTGCATGTACAATTACATTGGTTAACAAACAAACAAAGGGGAATTACATTTTCATTCAACATGCACAAACATGTACACGCATTCATCCACATGCATCCAAAATATTACCATATCCTTTTCTCCCTCCTTGGAGAAACACCTGTTAGGCCAGACCCTGCTTTCCTGCAGCCTGCCAACGCGTAGTTCCATAACTTCCATAACGCCAAAACTTCAAAACGCCGAAATGCCAAAACTTCTTTCCCTAAGAACAATGCCAAGGACCAGATCTCTGTTTTCCATACAGCAGAACCTGACTCCCTGCACAAAATCTAAGACTCCAAAAATACACTTTTTCCTCTTCCCTTGAGAAAGAAGCCCCAAAGCGACCAGACTGCTCCCGTACAGATCAGCCACTCTCCGAATACGCCATCTCTCTCCTTTTCATGGAGCAGAGCATGGTGGGTGGAACAGACTCCTCAGTCTGCCACACTTTGAGCATTATTAGACTGAGTCTTTTATAGGAATATTCTGTTGATGTAGTCCCAAAGTTGTAAATGAATGGTAGACATCTTCCATCCTGAATCCATCCCAGTTTCCTGGCCAGATGTTGATCTTCTTGATTGGTGTTGACAAACACAAGGCTTGTGTTGATTTCCTTCTTAACATAAGGAAAGTTGCAAACATTTCCTTTATCACTGTTCCGTTCTTTTCAGAGATTACTTTTCAGATCTTATTAGCAGGTTTTATCCACATTCCAGCAAGCAGGTAGTTAGTCATTGCAGACCTTAATATTATACTGGTGTTTCCAAAATTATGAACTCTGACCACACATCCTTCCATTCATTCCCACACATCATTATATCACATCTGCACATTGATTTTTTTATTACATGTAAACCAATGTTTTCCAGCCTTTGGACTTCTAGTTGTTTTGCACTTTAGTTCCCAGAAGCCCCCATCAACTTGGCAAACTATCAGGAGTTCTAGGAACTAAATTGGACTTTAGTTCCTAGAACTACTGATAGTTTGCCAAGTTAATGGGTGCTTCTGGAAACTGGAGTGGCATTAAGAGAGATTTCAATAAATTATGGAGAGCGCTGTGAGAGTTCAGCTGTATTCATGTCCTACTGATTGAATTTAAGTACAAGTTTCTGATGCTTCGTGTGCCAAGCTTTTGATGGTTGGACACAGAGACTTTTTCTTTTTCATTCATTTACTTATTTACTGCATTTATATACTGCTTTTCTCACCCTTGAGAGCACTCAAGGCAGTTTCCAACATAATAGTGGCAAAATTCAGTGCCGTACATACATGTGAAAGCCAAAACGTAATTTCTAGATAACATATACTATAAATTAAGAACCTTAACCATATTACACATATCAGCATAAAGCAACATATACATTAAAATTGCATCATTAAAACATATCAATTAAAATAATAATAATAATAATCATCATCATCATCATCATCATCATCATCAATAGGAGTATAGTGTCTAGATCCAGGGAAATCATGCTACCTCTCTATTCTGCCTTGGTTAGACCACACTTCAAATACTGTGTCCAATTCTGGGCATCACAGTTGAAGGGAGATGTTGACAAGCTGGAATGTGTCCAGAGGAGGGCGACTTCTATTTCTAAACTTTATTTATATAATAATTAATAATCCAGCGGATATTGGCAATTTGGTCTCTTTACCTTTACCTTTATCATTATTGCTCTGATATATCAATTGTTGCACTATCATTGTGCAAACACTTGGTCCCACAACCAGGATTTAACTTTCTTCCTGAAGGACGGGGTCCAATCTAATTTCATTGGGGAGGGAGTTCCACAGCTGTGGAGCCACCAACAAGAAGACCCTGTCTCTCGTCCCCACCAGTCGTGCCTTTGAAGGGGGTTGGATCGAGAGCAGGGTCTCCCCAGATGATTTTAATCTTCGAGAAGGTTCATAGGAGGAGATACATTTGGATAGGTAAGCTGGACCAGAACCATTTAGGGCTTTATAGGCTAAAGTTAGCAGTTTGAATTGTGTTGTTGTAGGTTTTTCTGGATTATATGGCTATGTTCTAGAGGCATTTTCTCCTGACATTTCGCCTGCATCTATGGCAAGCATCCTCAGAGGTAGTGAGGATGCTTGCCACAGATGCAGGCAAAACGTCAGGAGAGAAATGCCTCTAGAACATGGCCATATAACCCGAAAAACCTACAACAACCCAGTGATTCTGGCCATGAAAGTCTTCGACAATAGTTTGAATTGTGCTCCGTGGTAGACTGGGAGTCAATAGAGATGGTACAGCAAGGAAATTGTGTACTCCGTATGCCCCACTCCAGTTAGAAACTTGACTGCCGCCAATTTGACTACTTGAAGCTTCCGAACAGCCTTCAAAGGAAACCCCACATAGAGCGCATTGCAGTAGTCTATTCAAGATGTACCAAGAGCGTGGACCATCATGGTCATTCTAAAATAGTGCCACATTTGCTTATTTTTTTCCTGCAGTGGGTGAAGAATCTGGTTTCCTCAGCTTCCTCAAAGGAGATTTGATTATTCTGGACCAGGACACCGGAGAGAACGTTATGAACTCTGGTTGGGCCAACGGGATCAATGAGAGGACCAAGCAGAAAGGAGACTTCCCAACGGATTCAGTTTACGTCCTGCCCACCGTCACCATGCCTCCGTTGGAGATCGTGGTGTGTTGCATATATTTACATCTCTTTCACTCTAGATCAGGCATGGACAAACTTGGGCCCTTCGGGTGTTTTGGACTTCAACTCCCATAATTCCTAACAGCCGGTAGGCTGTTAGGAATTGTGGGAGTTGAAGTCCAAAACACCCGAAGGGCCCAAGTTTGTCCATGCCTGCTCTAGAGAGCGTCGCTTCTACCATTGTCTCACGCACACATCACAAATTAAATTTTCTATTTGCTCTTCCCAGGCATTGGTTACGATGACTCCAGACCAGAGGCAGGACGTCATAAGGACAGCTCAGCTGGTGATGTCTGACAGTGAGGAACGGATGAAGCCATATACCCTAGAAGAATTCTCCTATGATTATTTTAGGTACATCTCTTTAAAAAGACCACAAGTCTCCTGGAAGTAGGACTCTAATCCCTCCCTCCTTCATGGTGTTCATGGCTTTTGCTCAGAGTTTAGGAAAGTAGCTTGTTGGGTTGTATCTCCCAAAATCTTCCATCCAGCAGGGAATCAGGCTACCCCTCTCTTCTGCCTTAGTTAGACCACACCTGGAATATTGTGTCCAATTTTGGACACCACGATTGAAGGGAGTTGTTGACAAGCTAGAATGTGTCCAGAGGAGGGTGACGCAAATGATCAAGGGTTTGGAGAACAAGCCCTATGAGGAGTGGCTTAAAAAGCTGGGCATGTTTAGCCTGAAGAAGAGAAGGCTGTGAGGAGACATGATAGCCATGTACGAGAGTTGAATGAAAAGTAATGCCACCACCTTCATAACTCAACAGATGGCAGTACTGGTATGCGGCAGGTACTGGCTTGTTCAGTAGACTCTCCTCTACAGTTCCATTTCAGTGGGAAGCCTTAGCATTGAACGGTTGTGTTGTTAAAGTGCGAATTATAGAATCATAGAATCAAAGAGTTGGAAGAGACCTCATGGGCCATACAGTCCAACCCCATTCTGCCAAGAAGCAGGAAATTGCATTCAAATCACCCCTGACAGATGACCATCCAGCCTCTGTTTAAAAGCTTCCAAAGAAGGAGCCTCCACCACACTCCGGGGCAGAGAGTTCCACTGCTGAACGGCTCTCACAGTCAGGAAGTTCTTCCTCATGTTCAGATGGAATCTCCTTTCTTGTAGTTTGAAGCCATTGTTCCCTTGCGTCCTAGTCTCCAGGGAAGCAGAAAACAAGCTTGCTCCCTCCTCCCTGTGGCTTCCTCTCACATATTTATACATGGCTATCATGTCTCCTCTCAGCCTTCTCTTCTTCAGGCTAAACATGCCCAGCTCCTTAAGCCGCTCCTCATAGGGCTTGTTCTCCAGACCCTTGATCATTTTAGTTGCCCTCCTCTGGACACATGTTTTAAAACCACCAGACAAAGAGACTGTGTTGTACATCGCGGCAGCTCTTACCACTCATGTTTGAGTGGAATCTCTTTTTCTTTAGTTTAAATGGGTTGCACCTGTCTCTGTTTTCTTCTATGGCATGTGGTCTCCAAAGACTTTGCAGCATGGACTTCAAAGTAGGGATGCCATCATCACCACTGCTATGCTTTGACATGTGAGGATTTTGTTGTGCATTTGTATGTTTTCTCACAGCTGATATTTTTTTCTCCCAGACCTCCTCCCAAGCACACGCTCAGCAGGGTCATGATCACCAAAAACCGAGGGAAGGACAAGATGTGGTCTTACACCCGGGAACCAATCAAGCAGCCGTTGCTGAAGAAGATCCTGGGCAGCGAGGAGCTGTCACAAGAAGCCTGCATGGCATTCATTGATATCCTTCCAAGCGCTGTGTCTAGGATGGGAAAAAAATACCAAGATTTACATCTCTGTCATTCCAAAGAGTGTCACGTGTATCAAGGGCAGAGGTTTATTCAAACGAGCTCAAAATAAGCCAATAACATATTTACAATAAAAAGGGGACTCAAAGCGTGGTCAGTTGAAACATTCACACTTATTAAAGGACTCAAAAATCACAACAGCAAAACAACAGAGGGGAAACAAACAGGCACATAAAATCACTCTCAACAAGGGATTCCCCCCGGCACTTCCAAGCCATTGAATGCTAATCAAGGTGATCAGCTGAAACATTCACACCTAGCCCCAGCAGACAAAAGTCCTTTGTCTCACCCTGGTCATTCCACAGATATATAAACCCATTTTTCCTACTTCCAACAGACCTCACTACCTCTGAGGATGCTTGCCATAGATGCAGGCGAAACATCAGGAGAAAAATTGCCTCCAGAACATGGCCATATAGCCCGGAAAAACCTACAACAACACATTCACACTTAACTCCAGCAGACAAGAGTCCTTTGTCCCACCCTGGTCATTCCACAGATATATAAACCCCTTTTCCTGGTTTCAACAGACCTCACTACCTCTGAGGATGCTTGCCATAGATGCAGGTGAAACGTCAGGAGAGAATGCCTCTAGACCATGGCCATATAGCCCAAAAAAACCTACAACAACCCAGGGACTCAAAGTGGCTAACCAAAATGGAACCAGTTCCCCCCGTCAGCTCTAATTTTTGAGATACACAACATATGCCATCTACTAGATGTCATCTGCTCACCCATAGAAAACCATGATGACCATTCCTAAGAAACTAGAACTGTCACCGTCTATCCGGTACAATTTTTTGAATCAATGTCCCAAATAACCGTAGGAGCAGGCCTAAAAACCAAAATACCAAGGAAAAAGGGGGGATGTGTAATTGCTTATTATTAATTTCTGTATACAGAATCATGCTTTGATAGTCCCTTGTGTTGAATTTCAGCACTTTGCACCCAAATGCTTACTTACTTAGGCGATCCCTCATTGGACGAGTAAGATGGTCTTCCATTATGGGTTTCCTTGTGGAAACCCAACCAAATGCACACCCCAATGAGCATGCATGTCCACACAATGCAGAATGACCCATCATGTACAACTCCATTCATCCAAAGATGAACTGAATATATACACACTACAACAATGGACAAAATTTCTCCCAAATAAATGCCAGTTTCAGCTGTTATGCCCTTAACTGGCTCTGTGCACCTGTCCTGAAGTATATGGGTGACTACCCCTCCAAAAGAACCCGCTCCGTCAATGAACTCACAGACCAAATATTTGAAGGGGCCTTGAAAGCAGAACCACTCAAGGACGAGATTTACTCTCAGATTCTGAAGCAGCTCACAGACAACCACATCAAGTAAGAAATTTGTGCAGTCTTAATAGTATTTAAACTGTGTTTTTGTTGTATTTTAATTTATATGCTTCATGGCACAAAGATTTCATTAGTTTTTTAAATATTTACATTTACATGCATTTGGTTTGTTGTTAATTTGTGTTGTGTCATGTTTGTCGATAGCCACCTTGAGTATTGGGGAAATATTGGGAGAAAGGAGGGGGGCTGGAAGTAAATATTTTTTTCCCTCCAAGATATGTATTTATGTAATAATATTTGTCATAGTTTTTTCCATAGTGAAAATTAGCAAGAGAGTCTATACCAGAGCTTTCCAGACATTTCATATTAGTGACATACTTTTTAAGAGCCACTTGAGTCCCTTTTGGGGGAGATAAAGCAGGTGTTGGGGTTCAGCCTGTGTGTGAACCTGAACCTGATTCTCTGATTGTATTTCCTGGTGCCAATGTAGATGTCTATGTGAATTCTGAGGCCAATTTAGATTATGATAGTTTGTGTAGTGAAAATCCCACAGCCTTGGAAAGTGAAAGTCAAGATTCCCATGAGAACATGCATTCCGAGGCGAGCGGAGAAGTTTCACTCTCTTTTCCTCCCAGTCTTAGTTCTCCAGAGAATCTGACACCTGGTCTGCCTAATGAGGATAGGCGGGGGCAGATTTGGCAGAGCCGGGGAGAAGCACAAAGCTTACGTAGGTCAGCTAGATTGAGAGAAATGCAAACAAAAACTTTAGGCGTGTCTCGCAATAGATTTCTCGGCCTTAAGTATGCCTGGCCTGAATGCAGCTTCAGACCAGGCATCGTTCCAGATTCATGTGCAAGCTTTTGCAGGCCTCCTGATTCAAGTGGCCTTGTTCCTCTGAGGTTTTCTAGTTGTTCCAAGTACGGTTAGTGGATTGCTTACAGGTTCCAGGATTCAGCAGTTTTGCTGTGGGTTTTATGATCTTGTTTATGGACATTTCTTGTGGCTGATTTTTAGTGTGACTTTTTACCTTTGCATATTTCCTCTATTTTGTATGCATCTTTCATCAATAAAAAAGGATTGTTTTTCCTGAAGTCAAGTGTGGTGGATTGTTGTCTGAGGGTCCAGTTTCCTGCTCTGGGTTGCAACAGCAGGATATAAATAAATGTAAACCGCACTTTAAAAGAATTGGCTCTGACAATGCTATCAAAACAAGAATTGAAACGTCGACGACAGGTTCCTAGTGTAGGTTCTGCAAGGAAACAGATGAAACGATGGATCACATACTCAGCTGCTGCAAGAAGATCGTGAAGACGGACTATAAGCAGAGGCACAACACAGTTGCTTAGATGATCCATTTGAACTTGTGCCACAAATACCATCTGCCTGCCACAAAGAACTGGTGGGATCACATCCCTGAAAAAGTTACAGAAAATGAACACGTCAAGCTACCCTGGGACTTCCGAATTCAGACCGACAGAGTTTAGGTGCATAATACTCCTGACCTCATGATCGTGTCCAAAAAATATATGGATCGTCAATGTTGCAATCCCAGGCGACAACATTATGGATGAAAGCCAACTGGAAAAGCTGACACAATAGGAGGATTTAAAGATAAAATTGCAAAGACTCTGACACAAGCCAGTCAAGGTGGACCCAGTGGGGATCGGCACACTGGGTGCAGTGCCTAAAGACCTTGGCCTGAACTTAAACACAATTGGCACTGACAAAATTACCATCTATCAGCTGTAAAAGGCCACCCTATTCGGATCTGCACGCATTATTCGCCGATACATCACACACTTGGGAAGTGTCCGACATGTGATCCAATGCAAAAACAAGCATAGTGATCTTGTTTGCTGTGTACTAATTTTGTTGTGTTTCGTCAGAGGAGGAGGAGGAGGAGGAGGAGGAGACATGCATCATTTTGTGACATAGTAATTCAGTTTTACTAGCAAACTTGAAATTAAAACAACCCCTAATAAGAGATACAGACACATACAAAAATTGCAGCCAACACACTGACATGTCACAACACACAGTTTGGAAAGCTCTGGTCTGTAATAAGGGTCAAAGAGAACATTTAGTGACTTTCCAAAGGAAATCTATCAGCTCTTTGCATTTCAATCCTTTCTTTCCAGACACAAAGATGGTAACTAAAAGGAGGGTAGGGACTTATTAGTCTTATTAATGACTTTTGCTTTTAAATGGCTCTTAAGATGGATGTGTTGCAATGACTCATTTTATTCAACACTTTTGAAATGTTTTGTTTTAAAGATATAGTGAAGAGAAAGGTTGGGAGCTGCTTTGGCTTTGCACAGGCCTTTTCCCGCCAAGCAACATTCTCCTGCCCCACGTCCAGCGCTTCATTCAGTCTCGGAAGCATCATCCGCTCGCCAATGATTGCATGCAGAGGCTGCAGAAAGCATTAAGGTAACCAGCTCACTCCATGAGAAAACTTCATCACAAATTGGTAGACGTTGTGGGTGCATCTACACTGTAGAATTAATGCAGTTTGGCACCACTTTAACTGCCATGGCTCAATGCTATGGAATCCTGGGAATTGTAGTTCATTGAGGCACCAGCACTCTTTGGCAAAGAGCTTGTAGAACTACAACTCCCATCATTCCATAGTGTTGAACGATGGCAGCTTAATGTGGGGCCGTACTGCATAAATTTTACAGGATGTTACATGCAAATGGCCCCAAATAATCTATTGGCATCTTCTCTTAAAAGCAATATGTCAGCATTGAAAAGATGGGGAAAATATATACAACACTTTTTAAAGTTGAATTTTTCCCCAAATAAGTCTCAGACTGCAAAGATTTGAATCAATCCTTAGATTTACACAAATCTTTGCAAGTTGGGACTTATTTGGGCCAAAAATCACATGTGGTTGCTGTGTGCAAAAATACAGATTTTTTGTACACAGAAATATTGGGTTGTTGTAGGTTTTTTCGGCTATATGGCCATGTTCTAAAGGCATTCTCTCCTGACGTTTCGCCTGCATCTATGGCAAGCATCCTCAGAGGTAGTAACCTCTGAGGATGCTTGCCATAGATGCAAGCGAAACGTCAGGAGAAAATGCCTTTAGAACATGGCCATATAGCCCGAAAAAACCTACAACAACCCAGTGATTCCGGCCATGAAAGCCTTCGACAATACACAAAAATATTATTTTTCCACACAGAAAATGCAGCTTTCTGTGCAGAAATGTTGTCATTGAGGATTTATTCTGCGCAAAATTTGCACATGCTTGATTTGCGTAGAAAGCAACATTTCCTAGTCAGGATGCATTTTCTGTGCAGAAAGTAATAGTTCTTCATAGAAATATTATTTTTCTACTGTAAAGTACTCTCTCCTGTTCAAAGGATCCACCTGCAAATTTTGCACAAATTATGAATAGGCTTAGAAAACTGTCCTTTTGAAGGCATCTCTTACAAGGGGAAGAAAAATGAGGATGCCTCTGAGGATGCTTGCCATAGATGCAGGCGAAACGTCAGGAGAGAATGCCTCTAGACCATGGCCATATAGCCCGAAAAAACCTACAAAAACCTGGAAGAAAAATGGTTAAATTGCTTGCTGCTTCCTTCATGAAGAAACTTCGTTTGTAATGTCATTGCTAAAAGTAAGCTTTCTTTTTCTTTGATAGGAATGGATCTCGAAAATACCCTCCCCATCTAGTAGAAGTTGAGGCCATTCAGCACAAAACTACTCAGATTTTCCATAAAGTGTACTTCCCGGATGACACAGATGAGGTAAAAAGATAAATAATTGAAAAAAAGGAGATAGAGTGGAGACCCACAGAGAACCTATTGTCTGGTGGATTGATAGAATTGGGTCAAAGAGAGTCTGTGGTTAATTGCCCTCCAGTAGGCTTTGACCTTTGGCAGCCCTATGAATGGAAGGTCTCCAAGATATTCTGGTCAACATCCCATCATCATGGTCTATGATGTGTAACTTTGCAGATCCATAGTTACATTGCAGAAACTCTTCAAAGAAGTACCCCAATGCAGAATGGGGACACATTTCATATCAGGACATAGCTCATCATAGAATCATAGAGTTGGAAGAGACGTCATGGGCCATCCAGACCAACCCCCTGCCAGTCGCTTCACTGACTACCATTGCACAGTGGACACCCATACATTTCAATATCATCATAATCACCACACATTATTATTATTTCTTACCAACCGCTTGCGTTAGAGTCCTGAAGTCTCTTTTCACCACAAAACATGGGGGGCACGTAGCTCGAGAGCAGTACGTGTGAAAAAGGTCTTGGAGTCCTTGTGGACCACAAATTAAACATGAGCCAGGAATGTGATGCAGGCCAATGGGATTTTGGCCTGCATCAATAGGAGCATAGTGTCTAGATCTAGGGAAGTAATGCTACCCCTCTATTCCGCTCTGGTTAGACCACACCTGGAATATTGTGTCCAGTTCTGGGCACCACAATTCAAGAGAGATATTGACAAGCTGGAATGTGTCCAGAGGAGGGCGACTAAAATGATCAAGGGTCTGGAGAACAAGCCCTATGAGGAGCGGCTTAAGGAGCTGGGCATGTTTAGCCTGAAGAAGAGAAGGCTGAGAGGAGATATGATAGCCACTGTATAAATATGTGAGAGGAAGCCACAGGGAGGAGGGAGCAAGCTTGTTTTCTGCTTCCTTGGAGACTAGGACGCGGAACAATGGCTTCAAACTACAAGAGAGGAGATTCCATCTGAACATGAGGAAGAACTTCCTGACTGTGAGAGCCGTTCAGCAGTGGAACTCTCTGCCGAGTGTGGTGGAGGCTCCTTCTTTGGAAGCTTTTAAACAGAGGCTGGATGGCCATCTGTCAGGGGTTTGAATGCAATATTCCTGCTTCTTGGCAGAATGGGGTTGGACTGGATGGCCCATGAGGTCTCTTCCAACTCTTTGATTCTATCATTCTATGATTCTATGATTCTATGTCTTTGCCGGAGTACAGACGTATTTGCTTTGTGCTGTGTTGGTCTTTGTATATAGAATATAAATAAACTAATTACTTTATGGCTACAATCCATCCAGTTTTTATTACTTCTGGGACAATGGTCATGGGCCCAGCATGCTTTAGTTGAGTAGAGATTGACAGTGATGGATGGTAAAAGGAGCAGAGGCGACAGCCAGATGAGCAGCCGGAGGAAACCCCAGTGTGCAATGAGGTTAAAGTGAAGCCAATCAAGTTTTACAAAAGGTCAAAGATAAAAGTTAGTAAAATGTTTGAAACTGTCCATATACACATGGCAGGACCTTTTGAAAAAAGTGAAAGAGGATCAATTTATGCTTTGCTTTATGGCTACAATCCATCCAACTTTTATTACCGCTGCAACAGTCCATTGAGTCAGGAAGCTATGCTGAAAGCCACAGCTATCCAAGATTTGTAGTTTATTGTAATTTATTCTCTGACAGAAATGGGGAAATAAATATCTCACAAAACTACAAATCCCAGAACTTCATAGCAATGAGCCATGGCAGTTAAAGTGGTGTCAAACTGCTGTCATTCTGCAGTGTGGCTACAGCCTAACTCCCTTTTTTTGAGAGAAGGTGGGAGTGTTATCTAAAGATAAGAAGACAGCAAAAAGTCCTGATTACATAGATTTGGCTTCTTTTCTCCACCAACTGATTGGCCTCCTCGTCCTCTCAAAAGGAGCTGTCCAATTTCCAGGTCCTGAGATGGCAGAAGTGCAAAACCTTCCATTTTCTCAACAGGCATTTGAAGTGGAATCAAGCACAAAAGCAAAAGACTTCTGCCAGAACATCTCCAACCGGCTGCTGCTGAAGACATCTGAAGGTTTCAGCCTTTTTGTCAAAATCTCTGACAAGGTGAGTGAGCAGCCAAGACTTCATTCACTGATTATGGATGCTTTCTCAAAAGAGTAGATATATCTATTGTTCCATTAACTTACACAAGTGACAGGGGACTTTTGGGTAAGACGTCAGGGGATGGATTATAGGCATCCCCGCAACCACATTTGCATGGGTTCGCAGTGCGGAATCCCCAAGAAAGTGGGAAAACCCAAATATAAATTGTATGATTGGCTCTGGTTACATCCCGTATAGACTACTGCAATACACTCTGTGTAGGGTTGCCTTTGAAGACTGTTTTCTGAATGGTCCAACGGGCGGCAGCCAGGTTGCTAACAGGGAGCACACAACTCCTCTGCTGTGCCAGCTCCACTGGCTGCCAGTCTGCTATCGGGCACAATTCAAAGTGCTGGCTTTGCCCTATAAAGCCCTAAACGGTTCCAGCCCAGCATACCTGTCCGAACGTATCTCTCCTTATGAACCATTTAGGACTTTAAGATCATCCGAGGAGGTCTGCTCTCGGTCCCGCCTCCGTTTCAGATGTGCTTGGCGGGAACGAGAGACAGTGCCTTCTCAGTGGTGGCCCCTTGGTTGTGGAACACCCTTCCTAGGGATTTTAGATTGACCCCCTCCCTCTTAACATTTCGCAAAAAGGTTAAAACCTGGCTTTTTGAGCAGGCATTTGTAAATTCAATGTAACAGGCAATGATAGACCATGGAACAACTGACGTTGCAATTGAATAGTGATTTCAGTAAGGAGACGTTAATAATGTATGATTATATTGACTTTTTATGAAACTATATTTTAAATTGTATTTTATATGTTGGGGAGCATCGAATTGTGCAGAGTGCAAACTGCCTTGAGTCGCCTTTGGGCTGATATATAAATACAGTAAATAAATAAAATTATTCCCCAGCCAGTAAGACTCACAAAATTACAGGCTTTCTGCTCATTGTGTATATTGTTTTGTTCCTAATGGCACGTGTTCTTCCAGGTCATCAGTGTACCCGAAGGAGACTTCTTCTTTGATTTTGTCAGGCACCTAACTGACTGGATCAAGAAAGCTAGACCAGCAAAAGATGGTAAATACTATAATACTTTCCCATCTTCAGTGTTGTTTTGATTCCATGCAATTGATGTGAGTTCTGAAAGGCATGCTATTTTTTGTTTCCCAGCCCTTTCCACCAGCAAACAAAGACGTTTGATTTAGGACCTCATCACACTAGAGAATGAATCCACGTTAAATCAGGTTTCTGCCTCCTGCAGAATTCCAGGGTTTGTTGTTTAGGGAGGAGCCTTTAACAGCCACACTAAACTACAAATCCCAGAATTCTGCAGGAGGCAGAAACTGGATTTAAAATGGATTCATTCTCTAATATGATGAGGTCCTTATACAGGCTTTTGGCTATGGACCTGTTGCCCTACAAGGATCTTAATGTTGGTGGAAGTTTGCTAATGAAGGTGATCAGCTAAACATTCACACCTAACTGCAGCAGGGAAGAGCTCCTTGCCCCACCCCAGCCATTCCACAGATATATAAACCCATTGTTCTAATTCCAACAGACCTCACTACCTCTGAGGATGCTTGCCGTAGATGCAGGCGAAACGTCAGGAGAGAATGCCTCTAGAACATGGCTCTATAGCCCAAAAAAACCCACAAGAACCTAGTGATTCCAGCCATGAAAGCCTTCGACAATACATTGAAGTTTGCTATGTTTTCATATCATTTTTTTTACTAAAATGTCTATACTTATACAGTACAGTAGTTTTGTTTCAATAGTATAGTTTATTATATTGTGTTTTTAAAATGCTTTTAATATTACAATTAGGGTTTTGGCTGCATTTTGGCTTCATCTGTGGGATGAGTTTGGATCCCTTATTGGAACAAAGTCAGGTTATAATCAATCAAGCAATCAATCAATGGAATATAACTTCCCTTAACTTAAACAAAATGGTGCATTTTATTGTCAAAGGCTTTCATGGCTGGATTCACTACATTGTTGTAGGTTTTTTGGGTTGTATGTTTTAGAAGCATTCTCTCCTGACATTTCTTCTGCATCTATGGCAGGAATCCTCAGAGGTTGTGAGGTCTGTTGCAAGCTAGGAAATTGGGTTTATATATCTTTTGAAGGTCCAAGTTGGGAGAAACAACTCTTGTCTGTTGGAGCTAGGTGAGAATGTTTCAATTGGCCGCCTTGATTAGCATTTGATGGCCTGACAGTTTTTAGGTGTAGCTTGTTATTGCCTGGGAAATTCCTTTGCTGAGAGGTGATTAGGTGTTCCTGACTGTTTCTTGTCTGGAGTTCCCCTGTGTTTGAGTTTTGTTTTTATGTACTGTTATAATTTAAGAGGGTTTTTTTTAGTACTGGTAGCCAATCAGGAATACCTAATCACCTCTCAACAAAGGAATTTCCCAAGCAATAACAAGCCACAACTAAAAACTGTCAGGCCATCAAATGCTAATCAAGGTGGCCAATTGAAACATTCACACCTACCTCCAACAGACCTCCCTGGACCTTCCACAGATGTATAAACCCAATTTCCTAGTTTCCAACGAAACTCACAACCTCTGAGGATGCCTGCCATAGATACAGGCGAAACGTCAGGAGAGAATGCTTCTAGAACTTGGCCATACAGCCCGAAAAACCTACAACAACCCAAAATGGTGCATTGACGGACAATGTATACATTTTTAATTTTTATCCCACCTTTCTCCCAGATTGGGATTCAGTCCTGCTCTTCCCAAGAGGCTTGGACAAATGCAAACTTCAGCATCTTTTCATAGTTTGTGCATTCTTGTTCATTCATAACCTTTGCCATTGTGATCGCCCTTTGATGTCACTTGGTGACATGGTTTTCATCTGTGAAATGACTGAATGCTCTTCCTAGGCTTGAATGAAAATCCTTTTCCTTGTATTGTCGAAAGTTTCCATGACTGGAATTACTGGGTTGTTGTAGGTTTTTCGGGCTATATGGCCATGTTCTAGAAGCATTCTCTCCTGGCATTTTGCCTGCATCTATGGCAGGCATTCTCAGAGGTCGTGAGGTCCTCACAACCTCTGAGAATGCCTGCCATACATGCAGGAGAAACGTCAGGAGAGAATGCTACTAAAACATGGTCATATAGCCCGAAAAACCTACAACAATCCTTTTCCTCCTTACGCCATTCTTCAACGTGCAGTGATAGTGTTTATTTGTTTGGAGAAACATGTTATCATGTTTGTAATCCTTTAGTACAAGTGGTAAAAGTATGATAGCTGGGATGCAGTGCTGGTACTGCTATGCTAATTGCGCAACATGGCTCTCGAGAGACTATGCTTCCCTGTTTTCCCTCCCCCTTTCAGTCAAACTACCTTGTTGACTCTGTGCTGTGTCTCGCACATGTGTTCCCTTCTCTAATTCAGAGCCGCATTACACAACCAGCGTAGCGCGGGTCCCCGCTATCATACTTTCACTGTACAAGCAAACACACCTTACATATCCCTGGTCAGTGGAGCTAAAACAGTGCGGTGCAATATATATTTATGCACACGATGTTCAAATTATCTATACCTTAATGTTACCATTTTTTCTTTGGATAGGGATAGTGCCTTCTCTCACGTACCAAGTGTTCTTCATGAAAAAGTTGTGGACAAATACTGTGCCTGGAAAGGATTCAATGGCTGACTCCATCTTCCACTACTATCAGGTACCTCCCAAACGTCCGGCCTTAATAAGCAGAAGACTAGTATAAGAAACTTCTTGGCAAGTCACTTACATCTCTGGCGACACCATTCATATTTCCTTGCTTATTTGCTTCAGGGTGTGCATGCTTGCACCAACTCTTTCCTCTTGTGATACTGTAGCATGCTTCCTCTCTCTCTCCTTCCCCTTTTGTGGCACAGGAATTACCAAAGTACCTTCGTGGCTACCATAAATGCAGCCGGGAAGAAGTCCTTCAGCTGGGAGCCCTGATCTATAGGGTGAAATTTGAAGACGACAAATCCTATTTCCCCAGCATCCCCAAACTCCTCAAGGAGCTGGTCCCCGAGCCTCTCATCCGGCAGCTGTCCCCTGATGACTGGAAGAGGGTAGGTTGGCTTCTCCACTAAGCCCTGTAGAGCAGTGGTTCTCAACCTTCCTAATGCTGCGACCCCTTAATACAGTTTCTAATGTTGTGGTGACCCTCAATGATAAAATTATTTTTGTTGCTACTTCATAACCATAATTTTGCTACTGTTATGAATTGTAATGTAAATATCTGATATGCAGGATGTATTTTCATACACTGGGCCACATTTGGCACAAATAATCGATATGCCCAAATTTGAATACTGGTGGGGTTGGAGGGAATTGATTTTGTCATTTGGGAGTTGTAGTTGCAGGGATTTATAATTCACCTACCATCAAAGAGCACTCTGAACTCCTCCAATGATGGAATTGAACTAAGCTTTGCACATATAACTCCCATGACCAACAGAAAATACTAGAAGGATTTGTTTTGGAGTTGTAGCTCACCTACAGCCAGACAGCACTCTGAACTCAAACAATGATGGATCTGGACCAAACTTGGCACAAAACTCAATATGCCCAAATGTGAACACTGGTGGAGTTAGAGGAATAGACCTTGACATTTGGGAGTTGTAGTTGCTGGGATTTATAGTTCACCTATGATGGAATTGAACTAAACTTGGCACACAGACCAAACTTGGTGCAAAAACTCAACATGCCCAAATGTGAACACTGGTGGAGTTTGGGGAAAATAGACCTTGACATTTGGGAGTTGTAGTTGCTGGGATTTATAGTTCACCTATAGTTCATCAATGATGGAATTGAACTAAACTTGGCACACAGACCGAACTTGGCGCAAAAACTCAATATGCCCAAATGTGAACACTGGTGGAGTTCACATTTGGGAGTTGTAGTTCCTGGGATTTATAGTTCACCTACAATCAAAGAGCATTCTGAACCCCAACAATGATAGAATTTGGCCAAACATCCAACACAGAACCCCCATGACCAACAGATTATATAGTGTGTTTCAGAGGGGTCTTTGGTGACTCCTCTGAAACCCCCTCATGACCTCCCCAGGGTTCCCGACCCCCAGTCTGAGAAATGTTGCTATAGAGCAAGCATGGGAAAACTTTGGCCCTCCAGGTGTTTTGGACTTCAACTCTCACAATGGTATTGTGGCAGTTGAAGTCCAAAACACCTGGAGGACCAAAGTTTGCCCATACATGCTCTACAGAATGCTTAGATCTTCAAAGCAGATCTGCTGTTGGTATTTCCTCGTTGTCTGTCCAATTATAACTTCCAGAATTCCCCAGCAAAGTATGCATGAGGGAAATATCAAAGTTGGAATCCAAAGAAGTTTTTTTTTCTGAATTCTGTTAGGAACAGCTTTTTAGATACTAACTTAAGAGCTTAGTTATGGAAATCCACTGAGACTTACAAGCTTTGGCCGGAACCGTACCGGTTTCCCAGATTGTGACGCATCGTGCACATCGTGTGTTGCTTTCTCTTGCAGTCAATTGTGGCCTATTTCAACAAGCATGCAGGTAAAACGAGAGAAGAAGCCAAGCTTGCCTTCCTCAAGATAGTATTCAAGTGGCCTACGTTTGGATCAGCTTTCTTTGAAGTGAAGGTAGAGATGCCCCTTTCTTTCTTTCTTTCTTTCTTTCTTTCTTTCTTTCTTTCCTTCTTTCTTTCTTTTTGGTTCTGTTATCTAGAGCAGAGCTTCTTAAACATTTCCACTTGTGACCTCTTTTTGCCTGAGAAATGTTAACATATATAGGTTTATTTATTTACTTAGAGTATTTATATTTCATCTCAAAGGGGTGATCCCCTGGGCAACGTCCTTGCAGACGGCTAATTCTCTCACACCAGAAGCGACTTGCGGTTTCTCAAGTCACTCCTGACACGACAAAAAAAAAACTCCAAGGGGACTCAGGGCGGATTACGATGCACACATACATGGCAAATATTCAATGCCATTTTAGACATACAAGACAGACAGACAGATAGAGGTATTTCAGCATTTTCCAACTTCGGCACCTGGGGGTTATGCTCAATTATGGCCACAGGGGTGTACTGTAACTTTATCTGCTGTGACAATGAGCCATTTTTTATCATAGTTTCCCTCCTTGTTCATTGATCGCTGGCATTTTATAGTGTTGTAAAATACCTCCCCGCTAAAACGGTGTCTAATTTCTCTACTCACATCTAAGTTGTTTTCGAACTGCTTAGGTGGACGGTGAACTTAGGCTGACAGTCGGGTGCTCAATCCAATTCAGGCTTCGAACTTGCCATCTTCTGGTCATCAGTGATCTATTGCCACTGGCAATTAACCAGCTGTGCTAAAACTCTGCTGTGTGTGTGTGTGTGTATGTGCGTATGTATGTATGTATGTGGGTATATATGTGTGTGTATAAACATCAGAAATTTCCTGATAACAAATCAGCATCTGCAAGGCTTGCTAAATAAGCTGGTTTTCCTTTATATGAAGTACAACTGATGTATCTTCTGAAGACTGAAATGTAAACACTGCACAACACATTTGTGTAAACAGCCAAGGTGACACACAGAAAACCTTTTATTGTATTGTCGAAAGCTTCCATGGCTGGAATTACTAGGTTGTTGTAGGTTTTTCAGGCTATATGGACATGATATAGAAGCATTCTCTCCTGATGTTTTGCCTGCATCTATGGCAAGCATCCTCAGAAACCTCACAATCATAGATGCAGGCGAAATGTCAGGAGATAATGCTTCTAGAACATGGCCATATAGCCCGAAAAACTACAACAACCTAGTAAACCTTTTATTGCTGCCAATGTTTACGTGAGACCATTTGGAGTCAGGATCCACAGTTTAAGAAGCAGTGATCTAGAGATTCCAGGGAATGGGATGGGGAAGATGTCACATTGTTTACAATTTACATGCCTTAACAACCTACATCCTGATACCCAGAAACATGGCCTAAACACTGGGGCCATTTCTGTTACAATAGTACCTGTGTGGTTCCATACCGTTTTCCCAACCTATAATCTGTTTTCCATTCTGCATAGCAAACTACTGATCCAAATTACCCAGAACTCCTCCTTATTGCCATCAACAAGCATGGTGTCAGCCTCATCGATCGCAAAACCAAGGTAAGTTGGGGATCCATTGTAGTTTCTGAGTGTGCAGAACTTAGTAGACATATGGAAGAGAGAGAGCAAATGGAGAATGAAAATACCCTGAATCTTCAATGTGGCTAAACAATTCTAGGAGTCACGGCTTGAAAAAATAATATTCCCTAGCTCTGGGCAGAATACTACCCTGTTTCCCGGAAAATAAGACGTCCCCTGAAAATAAGACCTAGCAGAAGTTTTGCCGAAATGCTAAATATAAAGTTAGACCTGGCAAAGATTTTGTTTGGAAGCATGCTCCCTTTGTAGCCCAGTGTATGAGGGCCAGTATATTAATTAAATACTGATAACTACTGTACAATATATAATATATTTATTTTTTTATTTATCATGTCATCAGCAACCAGACATTTGTATTACATTTTTAACAAAAACAAACAAACAAACAAACAGAGAAAGAATTTGCAAGCTTGGTAGTTGATTAAATGTCCTTTGAGCAGTATCTGGCCACTTGGAGTCCAACGGGCGGCAGCCATGATACTAACAGGAGCGGGGCGCAGGGAGCATACAACTCCCCTGCTGTACCAGCTCCACTGGCTGCCGATCTGCTACCGGGCTCAATTCAAAGTGCTGGCATTGGCCTTTAAAGCCCTAAACGGTTCTGGCCCAACTTATCTATCCGAACGTATCTCAGCCTATCAGCCCACCAGGACCCTAAGATCTTCTGGGGAGTCCCTGCTCTCTATCCCGCTGGCTTCACAAATGCAGCTGGTGGGAACGAGAGACAGGGCCTTTTCTGTGGTGGCCCCTCGGCTTTGGAACACCCTCCCCATAGAGGTACGATCAGCCCCCTCGCTGATGGTGTTTCGGAAAAGATTGAAGACATGGATGTTTAAACAAGCATTCGGTTAATCCGTTGCAACGAATTTTGATGACTAAAGGATTGGTAATCATGGACGATGAATTTTGGATTGCGATTCCAGTTACGAGATGCATGGGATTGTTATTGGTGGCCCAATAATTTGTATTGTATATGTGTTTTATGCTTTTAAACTGAATATTGTTTTTTAAGTGTTGTAAACCGCAATGAGTCGCCGACTTAGGCTGAGATATTAGCGGTATACAAGCGCATTAATAAATAAATAAATAAATAATTGGAGTGCCTCTGGTGTTACCGCAAGAAGGTCCTCCCTTGTGCATGTGGCAGGGCTCAGGTTGCATTGTAGCAGGTGGTCAGTGGTTGGCTCTTATTTATATTTATTTATTACTGCACTTGTAGACCGCCGTTCTCAGCCCTAGGGCGACTCACGGCGGTGTACAACATATAAAAAACAATTTACAATAAGGCAATTACACAAACAACAACAACAACATCACTATTAATACTACAATTACACTAAATCATTCGCGACGTCTCATCATAGAATCACAATCCAATCTCGTTTTCCATATTCCGTTCCAATCATCATTGCCAATTGTTGTAGCACTTAGTCAAACGCCTTCTCAAACAACCACGTCTTTAGTCTCTTGCGGAATGTCATAAGGGAGGGCGCCTGTCTGATGTCTACAGGGAGGGTGTTCCACAGCCGGGGGGCCACCACCGAGAAGGCCCTATCCCTCGTCCCCACCAGGCGTGCCTGTGAGGCAGGCGGGATCGAGAGAAGGGCCTCCCCAGACGATCTCAAAGTCCTCGTGGGCTCATAGGCCGAGATGCGGTCAGACAGGTATTTTCTCCACACTCGCATGTCGTGGATTCCACTTTGTGGCCCCATTTCTTAAGATGAGCTCTGCATCTCGTGGTGCCAGAGCACAGTCTGTTCAGCGCCTTCCAAGTCACCCAGGGGGGAGTCTCTCATTTGGTATCAGCCATTGGTTGAGGTTCTGGGTTTGAGCCTGCCACTTTTGGACTCTCGCTTGCTGAGATGTTCCAGCGAGTGTCTCTGTAGTTTTTAGAAAACTATGTCTAGATTTAAGTTGTTGACGTGCTGGCTGATACCCAAACAAGGGATGAGCTGGAGATGTCACTGCCTTGGTACTTTCACTATTGGCTGCTACTTCCTGGCGGATGTCAGGTGGTGCAATACTGGCTAAACAGTGTAATTTCTCCAGTGGTGTAGGGTGCAGACACCCCGTGATAATGCGGCATGTCTCATTAAGAGCCACATCCACTGTTTTAGCATGGTGAGATGTGTTCCACACTGGGCATGCATACTCAGCAGCAGAGTAGCATAGCGCAAGGGCAGATGTCTTCACTGTGTCTGGTTGTGATCCCCAGGTTGTGCCAGTCAGCTTTCATATGATATTGTTTCTAGCACCCACTTTTGCTTGATGTTCAGGCAGTGCTTCTTGTAGGTCAGAGCACGGTCCAGAGTGACTCCCAGGTATTTGGGTGCGCTGCAATGCTCCAGTGGGATTCCTTCCCAGGTAATAAATGTTCATTTGTTTTTGTTCAACAATACATGTGAATTCTTCTTCATGGAAAAATAAAAAACATCCCCTGAAAATAAGACCTAGTTCATGTCGTCTTTGGGTGCAAAAAATAATATAAAACACTGTCTTATTGTCGGGAAAACAGAGTATACAGAGGCCTGGAAAGTTCAGCAAAAGGCATCATGTTTGAAAGGCAATTTTAGAATTTGGCACTCACAATGGAAAGGAATGGTGCCCCCAACTTAGATTAATGAGGCATCTAACGACATTCTCCATTTCCCTAGGACATTCTCATTACTCACCCCTTCACAAAGATTTCCAACTGGAGCAGCGGAAACACCTACTTCCACATTACTATAGGCAACTTGGTACGAGGAAGCAAACTGCTCTGTGAGACCTCATTGGTAAGGAAGATATGTTGATTTCTCTTGTGGTCCACTAAGACAGGCATGGACCAACTTTGGCCCTCCGGGTGTTTTGGATTTCAACTCCAACAATTCCTAACAGCCTACCGGCCGTTAGGAATGGTGGGAGTTGAAGTCCAAAGCACCTTGAGGGGTGAAATTAACCCATGCCTGCACTAAGTTGATGACTGATGTTTTCTCTTTGTCCTTTAAGTATTTGTTAAGCGAACAAACCCAGAGGGTAATTCTCCCTAATGCTTCCTTTTCATCCTGGAAAGAAGTGACAAATGTAGTAGTAGCTGGCCTCTTGGAGTGCCTTTGGGTTTTTGTTTGTTTGTTTGTTTGTTTTGATGTTTTTCCATCTTTGTGGGAGGCTTCTCTCATGTCCCCGCATGGAGAGCTGCAGCTGATAGAGGGAGCTCATCCACCTCTCCCCGGATTTGAACCTACGACCTGTCGGTTTTCAGTCCTTCTGGCACAGGGGTTTAACCCACTGTGCCACCTCTGGTGCCTCTCGTGTTACTATAAGAAGGTCCTCCATTGTGCATGTAGTCTGTAGTTTGCTCTTCTCCATACTCGCATGTCGTGGATTCCACCGTGTAACCCCATATCCTAAGGTTGGCTCTGGATCTCATAGTGCCAGAGCACAACCTGTTCAGCACCTTCCAAGTCGCCCTGTTTTCTGTGTGCCCAAGGGGGAGTCTCTCATTTGATATCAGCCATTGATTGAGGTTCTGAGTTTGAACCTGCCACTTTTGGACTCTCGCTTGCTGAGATGTTCCAGCGAGTGTCTCTGTAGATCTTAGAAAACAATTTCTTTATTTAAGTCGTTGACGTGCTGGCTGATACCCAAACAGGGGATGAGCTGGAGATGTCACTGTCTTGGTCCTTTCACTATTGGCTGCTACTTCCCGGCGGATGTCAGGTGGTGCAATACCGGCTAAACAGTGTAATTTCTCCAGTGGTGTAGGGCGCAGACACCCCGTGATAATGCGGCATGTCTCATTAAGAGCCACATCTACTGTTTTAGCGTGGTAAGAAGTATTCCACACTGGGCATGCGTACTTAGCAGCAGAGTAGCCAAGCGCAAGGGAAGATGTCTTCACTTTATCTGGTTGTGATCCCCAGGTTGTGCACAGGAGACAAGGTGGAACTGTCCCCCTGGCCCCCTCTCTCTTCACTATGATTCCTCTTTCTTTCTTCCAGGGTTACAAGATGGATGATCTCTTGACCTCCTACATCAGCCAGATGCTGACGGCGATGAGCAAGCAACGGAGCGCCAAAGGCAGCAAGTGAACTGAGAGCGGCCACTGGCCAAAGGCTCTGGCGCTGCTGTGCCAGCTGAGGGCGGTGGGCTACCCCTGCAGCTGGGGGAAGACCTTCTCCACCAACGTGTGGAAGATGAGCCGGACTCCTTCGGAAAGCATGTCAGACTCCGACTCGGAGGACTGCGGACTGACCTCCCCTTCAAGCGAGGATGACTATCTCTGAGCGCAGCCTTTCATTTTTCACTCACACCGACACACACTTATTCCTTTCTTGTTCTGGATTTGAGCCACGGCGCTTCGTTCAGACTGCGGTACAGCAAAACTCCAGTGTGGTTATTATTTTTTTATTTTTAATATGGAACCAAAACAGCAGGAGTTGTCATGGACCGAGTGTGGAAAGGCTATGCACTGCTTCTTTTGGGGGGGTCTTTCAAATCAAAAGTATCAACAATGGACCAAGGCACTGGGCTAAAATAGGAGACTCTTTTGGGTTCAGAGTTGAGCCTTTTGGGGGGGGGGGGAGAGAAAGAAAAAAAACTACCGTATTCTTTCTTTTTTTCATTCCGCTTTCAATTCCATTTAAAAGTCCAAGGAAAAGTTGTACATTTCATACACAAAAGGAAAGAAAAAAAAGGCAATTGATCAAGAAGTGTGGAACATATATGGGTCACAAAGCTTAAATGTGCAATAGAGGACCTTGTTCAAGGAGGTTTGGTTTTGCAGTGTTTTACAAACATGTCTTACTCCTTTTATTTATTTAGTATGGGGTGGAGAATGGTTTTTCTCAGCAGAGGAAAAAGATTTGGAGACCGTTTCAAAGTTTGGTTTGGACAGATCCGACTCCTCCTTCTGAGGGGGAGATAATAAAAAAAGCTTTGTTCAGGGGACCCATTTCTAAGCAGGTAAGTTTAACATTGTGTGCAAAGTTTCCCATCTTGGCTTTTGGGTCAGAAGGAAGGGTTGATAGTGATTGCTTCCAGTTTAGAGTTTGTGCAGAACTATCATGCAGAAAATGGTGAAAATTCACTAACTTACCAAGAAGGCAGAAGTTCCATAATTATTGGGGAAAGGAGGAATTGCTATTAAGATTCTTTACTTACTTACTTACTTAGGCGATCCCTCGTTGTCCAAGTAGGATTGTCTTCCAAGATTGGTGTACTGGTCCGTAGGTGACTGTGAAGCCCTATTCTTGACCTGCATGTTCTCCTGTAGTGAGGACATTGGTCTCCAGGTGGAAGGTGGTCCCGGTCGGGGTTGGCTTGACGCACCTTCCTCTTGGCACGTTTCTCTCTTTCACCATCCTTTTGTGCCTCTTCAAATTCTACAGCACTGCTGGTCACAGCTGACCTCCAGCCGGAGCGCTCAAAGTCCAGGGCTTCCTGATTCTCAGTGTCTATGCTCAGTTTTTATGGTTGGCTTTGAGCCCATCTTTCAATCTCTTTTCCTGTCCTCCAACATTGCATTTTCCATTCGGAGTAGAGCAACTGCTTTGGGAGACGGTGGTCAGGCATTCGGACAATGTGGCCGGTCCAGCGGAGTTGATGGCGGAGGACCATCAGGAAAGAAATATAAGTAAACATTCTTCAGATTTGAATCCCCAGGTTTGTTTTAGGAAGGAAGCGAGGAGAAAGATGAAATTATTATAATTTTGTAAAGCATTTGAACCTTCCCAATTGGTCCACAAGGCAGGGAAAGACTTAAAATCTCCCTCTGCTGATCAGTTCTTTTAAAATGGAAAGGTAAATATTGTTCCAAGAGAAAACTTTGAACAGGACAATTTGGTCATTTTGAATTGTGAAACCAGCATTTCCATTCTTTGGAAGTGGAGGTAAGAAACTTCCACATGGGCAATTTTCCCAGTTCCAAGCTACAAAACTGCATTTTTAGCCAAAATCATCATAAAATAGGGGCCTCTGGTGGTGCAGCGGGGTAAACCGCTGAGCTGCTAAACTTGCTGACCACAAGGTTGGTGGTTTCAAATCTGGGGAGTGGGGTGAGCCCCCACTGTTAGCCCTAGCTTCTGCCAACCTAGCAGTTTGAAAACATGCAAGTGTGAGTAGATCAATAGGTACTGCTCCGGTGGGAAGGTAACAGCACTCCATGCAGCCATGCTGGCCACATGACCTTGGAGGTGTCTATGGACAATGCCGGCTCTTCAGCTTAGAAATGGAGATGAGCACCATACCCCAGAGTTGGACACAACTAGACTTAATGTCAAGGGGAAAACCTTTACCTTTACCTTACCTTTGCTGATCAATTCTTAAAAACTGTTCCAAGAGAAAACTTTGAATAGCAATATTTGGACATTTTCAATTGCAAAACCAGCATTTCCATTCTTTAGAAGCAGAGGTAAGAAACTTCAGCATGGGCAATTTCCCCTGTTCCAAGCTACAAAACTGCATTTTTAGCCAAAATCATAATAAAATAGGGGCCCCTGGCGGCGCAGTGGGTTAAACTGCTGAGCTGCTGAACTTGCTGACCAAAAGATTGGCGGTTCAAATCCAGAGAGTGTGGTGAGCTCCTGCTGTTAGGCCCAGCTTCTGCCAAACTAGAGTTTGAAAACATGCAAGTGTAAGTAGATCAATAGGTACTGCTCCGGCGGGAAGGTAACTACACTCCAGGCAGTCATGCTGGCCACATGACCTCAAAGGTGTCTATGGACAACGCCGACTCTTCAGCCTTAGAAATGGAGATGAGCACCAACTCCCAGAGTCGAACATGACTAGACTCTAATGTCAGGGGAAACCTTTACCTTTTTACATCAGGTGTGATCAAAAGTCTGATTTTGGTTTGCAATTCCTTTTTCAAAAACTGGGTTTGAAATATTTTCAGTAGGGTGTCTTAAATGAATACTTCCACTCCAAGTATACAAGGAGATCCCTCCCCCCCAATATTTTAATATGGTCTTCTTGGGGGCCACCCCGCATTTGGGTGTCTAGTGGCTGTGGAATATATTTCAAGAAAGTTGAAAGGCACAATCCGTTGGGAATTTCCCCTCCTGCAGCGAATGAAAGACACAGGTGTGCCGTCGGAAACTTGCACACTTGGCAGGACTCTTCATAGATTCACAAGTTTCCAAATCCAAGGCTTCTGGTTCATTATGGCTCTGGGAGACACTCACACACCTACATCCAAGCCCATATTTTGTTTCAAGATGTCTTTCCTCAACTGGAATCACTTTGACGAGGGAGTGAATCGGACCAGGTTTTCAACATAATAACGGTGCCACTTGTACCCTTTGGCTCATGCTGTGCAACTTCCAGGGTTGGCCTACATCCCAATATGTCTTACTGCATAAATTCCATATTTTTTTTTTTGGTGTGTGTCTTTTTCTTGTTTTCGAAGTCATTTTTGGGAAGGAGTGGATCCAGTCTATGTGTTGCATTTTGTGTGTCTGCCTCTGTTTGTCGTGTTCATACATGAGAAGTGATACGGAATGGTTGTTGCGGTGGAACATTCCAATTAAAGCAAAACATTTTGAGAGAAAACAAGGAATGAGAGCAAGTATATATTATTTTATAACACAAGCAAAAAATATTATTTTACAGATACACTTCCGGTATTGGGACTGAAATGTCAGCATATGCGTCATGGATAAATGCAACGTCAATGTCAACAAATCTGTGCACACAGGAGGTACACATTTGATTGTGCTATGCCATCTTCAAACTGGATGGCAATGTTTCACAACTCAATGCACAATCGGATGGGGTTCCACGTGCCCAATAGCATCACAACATTGAACTGAAATGCAGAGGCACTTCCAAATATATTACAGACCAGGAGCATTTTGGCCACAGATGGACCACAACACAAACAAAGGCATTTCTTAGCACTCCTTCATATTATCATCTTCAAAACACAAAAACTGCCTTGCCAGGCCATGCAAGAAAACATTGGAAGAGCCATGTTAGGCAATGCCTATCTGCACCAAGAGACTGCTCTCACTATGACCAATGAGATACCCCTGGATAGGCAAAGGAAGACACCCATCTTTTCATAGTACTTCCCATGCTTCACACAAAGAAGGAGCCATAGCACTGTGCTGTTCCTTGTACTGAGTCAGAGGAGCAACATGTTCCCAATACTGGAATCAATACTGACCTCATGCCCTGCTTTTGGTCAGATGTTTGGTCAGCCAAAGGATGGTGGACCAGATATAAGTGTTTGATCTGATCCGTTCAGACTATCTGAGTTAGACTTACCCAAGACTGGAATAAATATTGACCTCATGCCCTGCTTTTGGTCAGAAAAAGATGATGGACCAGATATAGGTGTCTGATCTGATCCATTGGGACTTTTTCTACCCTACCTGGACCCTGGCTGTCCTCAAGAGATAGACTATTAAGGCTTCCTATTGAGGTGTATACGTTGGCTGGTCAAACCTAAGCTGGAATCCTATATATATATATATATATATATATATATATATACATATAACTCAGGATTACAGATATACATTTTTGATGTTGCGTAAGGAGACATCCTATACTTCCTTACGCAATATTCAAATAGATACACTCCCAAGGATGCTTTCTAGCCATGGGGATGTTGCAGGATTACAGTCAGATATGTATTTTTGATGTTGCATAAGGAGATATCCTATACTTCCTTACGCAATATTCAAATAGATACACTCTCAAGGATGTTTTCTAGCCATTGGGACACTGTCAGATTACAGTCAACTATATATATATTGATGTTGCGTAAGGAGACATCCTATACTTCCTTACACAATATTCAAATAGATACATTCCCAAGGATGTTTACTAGCCATTGGGACATTGCCAAAGCTATTTACTGCCCAGAGAGAGGCAACCAATCAGCATCTACCCAACTGTAGTTCTGTAGCTAAAGGAAGAAAGTTATGGCTATTGACCTGGATCTTGAGTAACTCTACTGAAATAGGGTTAACCTCACAGACCTCCACGGAGTCTCTGGAGCTCCAGGAGAATGACATCAGCTTTCTTTCTTTGGTAACAGAAATGTACCCGGAAGCACCATTGATTGGTCAGCCTCTCTTGGAGGCAGAATACACAGAAGTCTGGAAATACGCCTTCCAGTAGCAGAGGCAGCAATCTTGGTGTAGGATTGCAGCCATGGTCCTTAGTGGCTCTGACTTCTGGGTCAAGTTCTCAATCTCTGGCTCAGACCCTGACTCCTAGATCCTACAGTGACCTGATGTAGGATCATGGGCATCATCTTTAGCAGCCCTGATTTCTGGTCTAAATTCTTGGTTTCAATGTTTGGCTCAAGTCTTGGTTCCTGGACCCCACTTGCTTAAGGTCTGACACTGGTTGACATTGGTTGGCTTTCTCTGGGCCACAGACTATTTCTGTTTTCTAGATACATTTCCTTTGCATATCCATCTTAAGAATCAATTTTTAAAATCAAATGGGCAGTGTACAGGGGATCATCCATACATGTCAAAGGATCAACAGCAGGGTTTTCTTTAAATCCACCAACCTCTATAAACCTTCCTTTGAGATGTCCTCTATTTGTGACTCTCATAGGTTATGAAAACCTTCCATTTATATGGGGCTGATGGCACAGCTAAGGAGGACACTTTCCCAAAATCTCTTCCTGGCAAGAGTCTATTTCTGAAAGGCTGAAAACGGATTTCCTTTCAAGTAGATTCCAAAGAGGGGCTCAATGAGACCTTAGTCCATGATGCTGAGAAATACCAAGATAAAATCCATTTGCATTGTCCAGCTAAAACAATCTGGGAAGTCTCTGTGCCTCTAAATCATGAAAAACAGGGATTCATTCATCTTCTCCTGAAAGTAGCCCGGAAAATCAAGCAAAGTCCATGAAAATCCATGCAGCTCCTCATCTCTCTCGATAAGTCCAAGTGTATTCCAATCTGTAGCTTTCTGGAGGGGCAGCTCATGGATGTGAAACAATCTTCTGTTTACATGATGGACGTCTCCATGCCAGTCTTTTAGGCCACCGTTGTCATTGAATCATGTTCTGTAACAATATAAGGGTGAAAATTTGGTTTTTTGACCTAGACCAAATACTGGCAACAAGCAAACAATGCTCCCAAAACAGAGACAAGAAGTTATATTTACTTTCCTACATTAGTTATTCGTTTTACAAATCGCATGTGGATGGGCGACCCTCCTCCCACCAGCAGAACCAGAGATGACACAATACCGGGCACAATACCGGGCAACAAAACACAGTACCCCTGGGAACCGCCGTATGTTCCCTCCTCGGCCAGTAGTGGAGGGGCAGAAACCAGATCCAGGGCCCATGCCACATGCCAACACAAGTTGTGACGAACAGATAATGACCAAAAAACAGCAACACTATACAACAACAGAAATCGAGCAGGGTGGGTGGGAGGACAACCCGAAGCAGGTATGGGCCTGCCAGGCCCAGCGCAGCCTATATAAGGTTGTTGGGCGAAGGGGGAGGCCGGCCCTTGACCCCACACAGAATGCATTGCAGTATTTACTTACTTACTTACTTTACTTACTTAGGCGCTCCCTCGTTGGACGAGTAAGATGGTCTTCCATGATGGGTTTTCTTGTGGATTCGTAGGTGGCTGTGGAGCCCTATTCTTGCTCTGCATCTTCTTCCGCAGTGAGGGCATTGGTTTCCAGGTGGAAGGCGGTCCCGGTCGGGGTTGGCTTGACGCGCCTTCCTCTTGGCACGTTTCTCTCTTTCACCCTCCATTCGTGCCTCTTCAAATTCTGCAGCACTGCTGGTCACAGCTGACCTCCAGCTGGAGCGCTCAAGGGCCAGGGCTTCCCAGTTCTCCGTGTCTATGCCAGAGTTTTTAAGGTTGGCTTTGAGCCCATCTTTAAATCTCTTTTCCTGCCCACCAACATTCCGTTTTCCGTTCTTGAGTTCGGAGTAGAGCAACTGCTTTGGGAGGCGGTGGTCAGGCATCCGGACAACGTGGCCGGCCCCAGCCGAGTTGATGGCAGAGGACCATCGCTTCAATGCTGGTGGTCTTTGCTTCTTCCAGCACGCTGACGTTTGTCCGCTTGTCTTCCCAAGATTTGCAGGATTTTCCGGAGGCAGCGCTGATGGAATCGTTCCAGGAGTTGCATGTGATGTCTGTAGACAGTCCACATTTCACAGGCATATAGCAGGGTTGGGAGGACAATAGCATTGCAGTAATCCATTCTAGATGTAACTAAGGCATGGACCACCATGGCTAAGTCAAGTTTCTCGAGGTATGGTCACCAGTTTTAACTGTGTTAAGGTCCTTCCAGCCACCGCCAACACCTGATCTTCAAGCATCAAGGCTGAGTCCAGGAGGACCCCCAAACTGCAGACCTGTGTCCTCAGGGGGAGCGTAATCCCATTGAGCACAAGTTGCCATTCTATATCCTGATCGGCCTCGCAACTGACCAGGAAGACCTGTCTTGTCTGGATCAAGCTTCAGTTTGTTAGCCCTCATCCAGCCCATCACAGCTGTCAGGCACTGGTCCAGGATCCAGGGAGCTTCCTTGGATTTAGGTGGCAATGAGTAATAGAGTTGTGTGTCATCTTCATACAGATGACACTGAACTCCAAAACTTCGGATGACCTCACCCAGCGGTTTCATGTAGATAATGGAAAGCATATTCAAAAAGGCAGAGAGGCAACTATGTGCAATGCTTTCTTTGGTCAAAGCAATATTTATTTTTTAATTTGATACCATCAGAAGGGCCTCCTCCCAAGTTTGGATGACTATTAACTCCTTAAGTTTGACCCAAGAGAAAAATGGCACAACCCCAGGGAGAATAGGGCTCACCTCTTTGAAGTGAGCTGCATGAATCTCTCTCATGGACCTTGTTTCTCCGACTCAGACAGCTAAAGTGGCCCACCACTTTCCACCTGGAAGGGAAGGAAAAGCCATTCTTCATGAGACCAGCAGACTTGTTCCCAATCCATTACACCTAAGCTCCTCTTACATAAAATATAAGTATGGTAATGCAATTCTAGGGTATTTTGTGGGTCTGTCATAAGGATTTCTCAAAAAGAAATCTATTACAAGAATTGGGAATAATTGAAATCTGCTATATCCATGAACAGGAATTTCTTCTAGCAAAGAATGAAGCTCTTTTAAGAGCAAACTGGATCTGTTGCAGCTGATAGGAAAGATAATACCAAGAGCAATCCTTTGTTTGAGGGAGAAAAGTACGGTTTTATTTTCAGCTGAGACCCTGGCGTGGAATCTCCTCCAAAAGCAAACCAGAGTGAGGATAAAGGCGTTGACTTTCCCTTTTATACATCTGCAAATGCAGGCAAACAAAGAAGCATGCCTCTACATACGTTAACATTTGCATGCTGCAAGTTGCTTCTGGTTGCTTCTGGAAAGAGAGAATCAGCCGTCTATGAAGACGTTGCCCAAGGGATGCCCGGATGTCTTGCAATCCCGCAAGGAGGCTTCTCTCATGTCCCCCTACCTTAGAGGAGCGTGCTTGCTCCATCAATGTTCAACAATTACACAAATGACCAGCCACTGCCAGAAGGGACAGAGAGTTTCATCTATGCAGATGATCGTGCCATTACTGCTCAAGAAGGGAGCTTTGAGATGGTTGAACAGAAGCTCTCCAAAGCTCTAGGTGCTCTTACTGCCTATTACAGGGAAAACCAGCTGATCCCTAATTCATCTGAAACACAGACATGTGCTTTTTGCCTTAAGAATAGACAAGCATCCCGAGCTCTGAGGATTATTACCTGGGAAGGAATCCCACTGGAGCATTGCAGCGCACCCAAATACCTGGGAGTCACTCGGGACAGTGCTCTGACCTACAAGAAGCACTGCCTGAATATCAAGCAAAAAGTGGGTGCTAGAAATAATATCATACGGAAGCTGACTGGCACAACCTGGGGGTCACAACCAGACACAGTGAAGACATCTGCCCTTGCGCTATGCTACTCTGCTGCTGAGTATGCATGCCCAGTGTGGAACACATCTCACCACGCTAAAACAGTGGATGTAGCTCTTAATGAGACATGCCGCATTAACACCACTGGAGAAATTACACTGTTTAGCCGGTATTGCAGCACCTGACATCCGCCAGGAAGTAGCAGCCAATAGTGAAAGGACCAAGGCAGAGACATCTCCAGCTCATCCCCTGTTTGGGTATCAGCCAGCATGTCAATGACTTATATCAACAAATAGTTTTCTAAGACCTACAGAGACACTACCTGGAACACCCCAGCAAGTGAGAGTCCAAAAGTGGCAGGCTCAAACCCAGAACCTTAACCAATGGCTGATACCAAATGAGAGACTCCCCCCTGGGCACACAGAGGACTGGGCGACTTGGAAGGCGCTGAACAGACGGCGCTCTGGCACCACGAGGTGCAAAGCCAACCTCAAAAAATGGGCCACAAAGTGGAATCCACGACATGCGAGTGTGGAGAAGAGCAAACCACTGACCACCTGCTGCAATGCAACCTGAGCCCTGCCACATGCACAATGGAGGACCTTCTTGCAGCAACACCAGAGGCACTCCAAGTGGCCAGATACTGGTCAAAGTGGACATTTAATCAACTTTGTATTTTGTCTGTTTTTCTGTTTGTCTGTTAAAAAATGCAATGCAACTGTTTGGTCTGCTCCTGACACAATAAATAAATACGTTAACATCATCACTATGTCACTTTAACATCATAGAAATATCAAATCATATCTTTCTACATGCATGAGGCATGTCTTCATATTTTTTTCTAAAGAGCAGCTTTAGAAATTCTAGGATTCAGCTTACTCAGATCCATCAAGGGGCCTATTTTGACCTGTCAGGAGGGATGGAGAGAGACTCCTTACTTTTAGGAGTAAGAAGGTATGGCCTGTACAAAGCTGTACCAAGCCTCTGGAATGTATAGATAACAGCCCACCCCTTCTCCCCTGTCAGTTTCCCAATACAGAGAGAATCTGATTTGTCTAGATTTCAGTGCTTCTAATGTATAAATATATATATTTCCAATATGTCCACTTCAGATTGCAGTTGCTACGACGGTGGAGAAAAGGAATCAATATCAGAGGACATTACCGAAGGAGACCAAAGATGAAACAGACGAGAACAATCGCCACCACATCTATTATGATCCACATAGTCCTGTATTCATGGGGTGTCTGTAACAGAACAGTAGAAAAATAATTGTTATCACAATCATACATTGCTACATGGCAAGAAGTTGGAAAAAAGGACCTTTGCAATCCCTCCCTACTATATGATTTTTCTCCTCAAGATGAACAAGGAGGACAGCATTGCAGAGGATTTCAACAATGAAGGACCTGGTCCATTTCAGAGTTGAGAGGCCAACACATTGCCTTGGTTTTCTAGGAATGTTTGAGAAATTTCTCATTTGTAAACAAAGATGTAGAGAAACCTGGCTGGCCCATGCCAGACTAATATGGAGAGCAGAACAAGGTTGCCTTTAGATTTTTTTTAAAATGTTGCTCTAAACTTCAAAATTTATTGTAGAACATAATCTTAAAATGCATCTTAGATGTAAGAAGATGTATCATCTTTCACATAAACACACACACATACACAAGGAAGTAACTAACTGTGCCTAAGAGTTCACGCCATCAAAAGACATATCTGAGGAGGAAGAGCCTAAAATATTGACAAGTAAGAAGAATGAGACATCCAGATTGGGAAGAGCTTGGAAGTACACCACAGTTTTTTTCCCTTTTGCTTTCTTCTTTTTTTGATCTTTTAGATTTCCTACTTTTCTATCTTCTACACAATATTCACCTACTTTCCTTGTAACAATATTATTTTAATAATAAAAAATTCATTAGTAAGAGAAACTGCAAGTTGTTTCTGGTGTGAGAGAATTGGCCATCTGCAAGGACGTTGCCCAGGGGACGCCCGGATGTTTTTGATGTATTACCATTCTTGTGGGAGGCTTCTCTCATTGTTATGGAACAGCTGTTCCAGGAGCTCCAGATTTATTTGCTGTGTTTAAATGTTTGTGTGCAATCCCATGCTTGGGATTTTGCAGCAGGGGGTTTCCTGTTATAATTTGCATTTATAGGGTAAGCCACCTGCCAATTATAGTTAGGATCCCTGGTCCCGCCCCCTTTTTGCCTTTTGGAGGGAAGGGGCCATTTTTCAGTTAGTCACAGCAAGGGAAGCCAAGGCAGAGGATGCGTACAGACGCTCCTCCTGTGCAAAGGCTTCGTCTTTTAAGACTTCCTGGGGAAGAACAGATTAAAGGCCTCTACAGATTCCCAAAGGGTTCCAGGGAACAGCTTCACAGCCCTGAGGACCTCCGGAGGGAATAACAGCTCTTCATCTTCAGCTAAGTGATTTCAAGCCTGGTGGTACGTCTGTTTGGTTCTGAGACGCAGTTCAGCCGGTAGCAGACTCAAACCAGTCAGGTTTAAGTTCACAGCAGCCTGGGAGGAGCTTTAAAGGGGAATTTTTCTGTTAAACAAAGTTTCTTGAAGATAGTGCCTGTTTCCAGTAAACAAGACTGCAAGAGCCAATAGACTGTTTAGAAAGCTTACAATCCCTGCTTGTTCATTAATAAAGACTGTTGTATTTAAGCTTAAGTCTCCTAAAGCCTGTTTAATAGGGAAAATTCCTCTAAAGGTTCCTTCTCGGGTCCCCGGGCTTCCCGCTGGACGCAAGCCTTGCATCCTCTCTTAGAAGCATTTAATTTCAGCTCCAGCGGCAACAGAACACTCATGTCTCCGCATGGGGAGCTGGAAAGGAGCCCCTAGTGGCGCAGTGGGTAAAACCTCTGTGCCGGCAGGACTGAAGACCGACAGGTTGCGGGTTCAAATCCGGGGAGAGGCAGATGAGCTCCCTCTATCAGCTCCAGCTCCTCATACGGGGACATGAGAGAAACCTCCCACAAGGATGATAAAAACATCAAATCATCTGGGCATCCCCTGGGCAACGTCCTTGCGGATGGCCAATTCCTTCACACCAGAAGCGACTTGCAGTTTCTCAAGTCGCTCCTGACACGACAAAAAAAATGGGTAGCTAGAGCTGACAGAGAGAGCTCATCCGTGCTCTCCCTGGATTTGAACCTGTGACCTGTCGGTCTTCAGTCCTGCCAGCACAAGGGTTTAACTCATTACGCCAACAAGTGACTGAGGCAGCTACGGTAAAATATTCCAAAAAATGCGCCATACCAATGGCACATGTACATGTCGGGAGAGACTTTCTTGGCTTACCATGAGGAAGTAAGGCTGATTGAGGGCCTTGAGAGTGTGCACAGCGTCTGTGGTGACAGAATTAACTCCGTAGCACCAGGCCAAGGAGAAAAGCCAGGGTTCGCTGACCACCCAAAGGTTAATTGTGATGTTGGCTTCTGCATACTTCCTTCAAGCAAAGACACAGATTCATGTTAGACCAGTGGTTCTCAACCTTCTTAATGCCACAACCCCTTAATACAGTTCCTCATTTGTGGTGACCCCCAACCATAACATTATTTTTCTTGCTACTTCATAATTGTAATTTTGCTACGGTTATTGCAGGGACAATGTCTGAATCATAATGTAAATATCGGATATGCAGGATGTGTTTCCATTGACTGAACCAAATTTGGCTCAAATACCCTATGCGCCCACTGGTGGGGTTGGGAGGGGGATTGATTTTGTCATTTGGGAGTTGTAGTTGCTGGGATTTATAGTTCACCTACAATCAAAGCACATTCTGAACTCCACCAACGATGGAATTGAATCAAACTTGGCGCACAGAACTCCCATGACCAACAGAAAATATTGGAAGGGTTTGGTGGGCATTGACCTTGAGTTTTGGAGTTGTAGTTCACCTACATCCAGAAAGCACTGTGGACTCAAACAATGATGGATCTGGACCAAAACTTTGTACCCAGAGGCGGCCCTAGGTAATTTTCAATGGTAAGCAAACAGTATTTTGGCCCCCCCCCCCCCCAACCAATCATTGATATATATTTTCTGTTCGTCATGGGAGTTCTGTGTGCCATATTTGGTTCAATTCCATCATTGGTGGAGTTCAGAATGCTCTTTGATTGTAGGTGAACTATACATCCTAGTAACTACACTTGCCACACTTGCTCCCTTGCCTGGCCCGCTTTGGGTCCGGAGGCGTGCCTGAAGACCCCGGCGTGTGCACCAAAAGTCACCTCTTCTCCTGACTTTCTCCTCAGCCATTGGGACCAGAGAGAGAGAGAGAGGTGGAGATGCCCACCTTTCCTGAAGGTAGACACAAAAACAAAGGAGGGAGCGAAGGTGGGAGATACCTCCAGCCGGAGGGGGTGTCTCTCTCTCTCTCTCTCTCTTGGTCCCAACGGCTGAAGAGAAAGTCAGAAGAAGAGGCGAATTTTGGTGTGCATGCTGGGGTCTTCAGACACGCCTCCGGACCCGAAGCCGCCACCCCTTGGCCCACCCACGGATTGGGGAGAGGAGAGGAGGCGGGTGGAGCGCCGGGGATCGGGAAAGGGAGCCGGTCATGGGGAAGGGATTGAACGGAGAATGATTGAGCGCTGGCTCTGCTCGCGCACCCGGTGGCCAGGTGGAGCAGGAACGAGAGGGGCTAGGCGAGGCTCAAGGGCCTGGCCCCTTTGGGAAGAGGATCACCTGGCAGTGAGGCAAGAAAGCCGAGGCTCCCCCCGGACTGCTAGGGCTGTTGTGAGCTGAGGGGGCGCTCCTCAAGTGGCAGTCGAGGGGCATTTACAGAGGCGCCTCTGCACCCTTGGCAAAAAAAGTGTTATGCGACCGTTTACTTCGCGTAATGGATGAGCCGCCCCTGCTTGGCACAAATACTCAGTATGCCCAAATGTGAACACTGGTGGTGTTTGTGGAAAATAGACCTTGGCATTTGGGAGTTGTAGTTGCTGGGATTTATAGTTCACCTACAATCCAAGAGCATTCTGAACTCCATCAACGATGGAATTGAGCCAAATTTAGCACACAGAACTCCATGACCAACAGAAAATACTGGAAGGGTTTGGTGGGCATTGACCTTGAGTTTTGGGAGTTGTAGTTCACCTACATCCAGAGAGCACTGTGGACTCAAACAATAATGGATCTGGACCAAACTTGGCACGAATTCTCAATATGCCCAAATGTAAACACATACAGGTGGGAAAATAGACCTTGACATTTGGGAGTTGTAATTGCTGGGATTTATAGTTCACCTACAATCAAAGAGCACGCTAAACCCAGCCCACAATGTATCTCCACCAAACATAGCACACTACCTACATGGTCAACATTGGATACTGGCATGGTTGGGAGGGGAGCTGTTTTTGAATTCTGGGAGTTGTAGTTCACCAACACCAAAAAAAGAACAGAAGGACAGGTAGAGAGATCTTCAGTCTTCTCTGCCAAAAGAGTTCCTAAGATAATCAAAAATGTTTTTGGCAACCCCTCTGAAACCACCCCCACGACCCCCAGGTTGAGAAACACTGCGTTAGAGCATCTCACACGTCTCATGGAAATTTGCCATCAAAATATTCCACAAATCTATCAAGACGTGGATTTCTGTTTGTTACCTCCTCAATCTGAGAAAGAAGTGGTTTCTGACGTTCAAACTTACTGAAAATCTATATTGGTCAGTGTTCGGTAATCCAAGTTAAGTTTCACAATGTTTTTCGCCTTGAGCTCAGGGATGCTGACTTCATGGCCTGAAACCTGCTGGAATCCAGGAGAATGAACCTGTACATACTTTCTGTTTGTATTGGTCAGCCAAAGGACCTGCAATGGGCAGAAGAACGAAATGCTATTTATAATACCTTCATTCACCCTTTCCAAAATGTTTTCACCATGGCTCACGGCATATATTTGCTGCATTATACCAGTGTTTCTCAACCTTCCGAATGCCGTGACCCCTTAACACAGTTCCTCATGGTGTGGTGACCCCCAACCATAAAGTTATTTCCGTTGCTACTTCATAACTACAATTTTGCTCCTGTTATGAATCGTAATGTAAATATCTGACCTGCAGGATGTATTTTCATTCACTGGACCAAATTTGGCACAAATATCCAATACGTCCAAATTGTAATACTGGTGGGGTTGGGGAGGGGAGGAATTGGTTTTCCTATTTGGGAGTTGTAGTTGCTGGGATTTATAGTTCACTTACAATCACAGAGCATTCTGAACTCCACCAACAATGGAATTGAACTAAACATGGCACACAGAACTCCTGTGACCAACAGAAAATACTGGAAGGGTTTGGTGGGCACTGACCTTGAGTTTTGGAGTTGTAGTTCACCTATATCCGGAAAGCACTGTGGACTCAAACAATGATGGATCTGGACAGGGGTGGCTCAACCCATTACGCAAAGTAAGCATTTGCAGTAGAGTTGATTTTGCCCAGGGGCGCTCTTGAGGCATTCTTGGGGAAAAATAGACCTTGACATATGCGAGTTGTAGTTACTGGGATGTATAGTTCACCTACAATCAAAGAGCATTCTGAACTCCACCAATGATGGAATTGAACCAAATATGGCACACAGAACTCCCACAATGAACAGAAAATATATATCAATGATTGGTTGGGGGACGGGGCACCAAAATACTGTTTGCTTACCATTGCAAATTACCTAGGGCCATCTCTGTGGGAGTTGTAGTCTAACTGGACATACACAATATGCCCAAATGTGAACACTGGTGGAGTTTGGGGAAAACCTTGACATTTGGGAGTTGTAGTTGCTGGGATTTATAGTTCACCTACAATCAAAGAGCATTCTGAACCCCACCAATGATAGAATTGGACCAAACTTCCTACACAGAATCCCCATGACCAACAGAAAATACTGTTTTCTGATGATCTTTGGTGACCCCTCTGACACCCCCTCATGACCCCTCCAGGGGTCCCGACCCCCAGGTTGAGAAACACTACATTATACCTAGAATAGGAGGAGGGACAATATTGCAGAACTTTTCCAAGTACCGTATATACTCAAGTATGAGCCGACCCGAAGTACAAGTCGAGGGTGGCCCGTAGCCAGGATTTTGATTCGGGGCGGCTAATGAGTAAAAGAGGGTCTACCCTAGCAAAACTTTTGCATCGTTACCCCAATAACCCCATCCATATGGGATATATTGAGTATGGTGATCAGATCATGATATGAATAAACATAACAGTTTAAATAATGTACCAGTAAGGCCTTCTTGCGGACCACCTGAGAATTTCGGGGGGGGGGGGCTGAAGCCCCTCAACCCCCCCCCCCTCCCCCCCCCCCCTACATGCCTGGCTGTCATGGCCATTTATGTGCAGATAGTATCCTGTTACAATTCTGCAGCTGCAAAAAAAGGGCTGAAATCACATTTCCAGATCTTCAGTGGCATTTTGGAGAGGCTGAGAGGGTACAACTTGCTCAAGATCACTCAGTGGGTTTCATGGCTGAGAGGGCAGTCAAACTCTGCTCTCCAGAGTGATAGTCCAGTGCATAGCAGCAGAGTGGAGTTATGTCACCCACCTGAAAGTGCAGCTGCAGGATCTTACACTGCTAAGGTGTTACAGTTGTACAATTATGGCAGCATTGTGATAGGAGCCCCCGGAGGCGCAGTGGGTTAAACCCCTGTGCCGGCAGGACTGAAGACCGACAGGTTGCAGGTTCGAATCCGGGGAGAGCGGATGAGCTCCCTCTATCAGCTCCAGCTCCTCATGCAGGGACATGAGAGAAGCCTCCCACAAGGATGATAAAAACATCAAATCATCCGGGTGTCCCTGGGCAACGTCCTTGCAGACGGCCAATTATCTCACACCAGAAGCGACTTGCAGTTTCTCAGGTTGCTCCTGACACAACAAAAAAAAATATCTAGACAGGAAATTTAGGTACCGCTTTATGCGGGGAGGCTAATTTAACTAATTTACAACACCATAAAACCTTCCAACGTCCGTAAGAATAAGGAAGTGCTCCATCAAGGACGCAGTGTCACAAGTGGACGGTGAAGCGGCAGTTCCCCCTGTGGCCGGAATCAAGCATACCCTCATGAACCTGGAAAAGCTGGAATGTTAAATTGCCTCTGTGTCTGTCTATAGATGTTGTATGTCTCAATGGCATGTATATGTGCATTGTAATCTGCCCTGAGTTCCCTGCGGGGTGAGAAGGGAGCATATAAATACTGTAAATAAATACATAAAATAAACAAAACAATACGATATCAACAATCTATATAAATAAAAATGTAATGTTCGTTTGTGGGATTAACAGAACTCAAAAACCACTGGACGAATTGACACCAAATTTCGACACAAGACACCTAACAACCCAATGTATGTCCTTCACTCAAAAAATTTGATTTTGTCATTTGGGAGTTGTAGTTGCTGGGATTTATAGTTCACCTACAATCAAAGAACATTCTGAACCCGCCAACGATGGAATTGAACCAAACTTGGCACACAGTTCTCATGACCAACAGAAAATACTGGAAGAGTTTGGTGGGCATTGACTTTGAGTTCTGGAGTTTTAGTTCACCTACATCCAAGATCACTGTGGACTCAAACAAATGATGGATCTAAACTGGAACAAATTCTCAATATTCCCAAATGTGAAAATTAAAATAATCATATTAATTATAGATACTTGTTTGTTGCTAAGCAAATTTGTATATTCCTGAATCTAAAAAAAAAAAAAATATCCAAAATAAATATAAAAAAATAACCACTATAAAAACAAAATTAAAAACCAAAAATGAAAATACAACAAAAGATCCCATCGAATATGCCAAAAATAAGTAACTCCCTAGCAATAAATGGCATACTTATAAAATATTAATAACAAAAAATAATACAAGATACATAAAAAATAAACAACATAAACATCAATACAAAAATGCTATATATGTAGGTCGCAAAATCAAAATAACATAAAATAACATTAAAAAAAAAAAATCAGAATCTTATCAACCTGATTGATATTTTAAGTTTCAAAAGCAAAAAATATTAAAAAATATAAAAACTTATACATCCAGAGAGCACTATGGACTCAAACAATGGTGGATCTGGACTAAACTCTACAAGAATACTAAATATGCCCAAATGTGAACACTGGTGGAGTTTGGGGAAAATAGAATCTTGACATTTGGGAGTTGTAGTTGCTGGGATTTATAGTTCACCTACAATCACAGAGCATTCTGAACCCCACCAACAATAGAATTGGGCCAAACCTCCCACACAGAACCCCCATGTGGGCCACAGCAACACGTGGCAGGGGACAGCTAGTAACATAATAATAATAATAATAATAATAATAATAATAATAATAATAATAAAATAATAATAATAATAATAATAATAATAATAAGCAGCTTCATTTGTATCCCGTCTCATCTCCCCATGGGGACTCAAGCTGGCTTGTAACATAGTAAAAGGCAAACATTCAACACCTATATAAACAATGCAGAGCTAGAGATAGATCTATAACAGTGTTTCTCAACCTGGGGGTCGAGACCCCTGAGGGGGTCACGAAGGGGTGTCAGAGGGGTTGCCAAAGACCATCAGAAAACACAGTATTTTCTGATGGTCATTGGGATTCCATGTGGGAAGTTTGAGCCAATTCTATCGTTGGTGGAGTTCAGAATGTTCTTTGATTGTAGTGAACTATAAATCCCAGCAACTACAACTCCCAAAAGTCAAGGTCTATTTCCCCCAGACTCCACCAGTGTTCACATTTGCACATATTGAGTATTTGTGCCAAGTTTGGTGCAGATCCACCATTGTGTGAGTCCACAGTGCTCTCTGGATATAGGTGAACTACAACTCCCAAACTCAAGGTCAATACCCACCAAACCCTTCCAGTGTTTTCCGTTGGTCATGGGAGTTCTGTGTGGCAAATTAGGTTCAAATCCATCGCTGGTGGAGTTCAGAATGCTCTTTGATTATAGGTGAACTATAAATCCCAGCAACTACAACTCCCAAATTACAAAATCAATCCTCCTCCAACCCCACTAGCATTTACATGTGGGTGCATTGGGTATTTGTGCCCAGTTTGGTCCAGTGAATGAAAATGCATCTTGCATATCTGATATTTATATTATGATTCATAACAGTAGTAAAATGACTGTTATGAAGTAGCAACAAAAACAATGTTATGGTTGGGGGTCACCACAACATGGGGGGCTGTATTAAGGGGTCACGGCATTAGGAAGGTTGAGAACCACTGATCTGTAATGATATATCCTAATTTCACATATGCATTTCACTTTGGCAGCCACGGCTCAATGCTATGGAGTCCCGAGATTCGTATGTTGGTGAGGCTGCAGAGAAGACTAAAGCCAACTCCTCATACCAAATGGGGCTTAATTTTCGCTTGAACTCGGAGAACGTCTTCGACCAAATGGACATAGCTGTTCCTGTACGGATGATACTTTGGAGGGCGGTAAAGATCGAAGATGATGGACTTGTTGTGCCGATCGGCCAGTTTCACAAAATCGACGAACTTGTAGATTTTTTGCCTCCTTGCCAGTTGGCGGTCTGCATGTGAAAGCGGGGGCATGCCAAAGAACGGCCTTTTCTAGAAAGAAATGCACAGAGAGGAAGGAATCAGATGGAAAACATTCATTTTTGAGACCAAAACTAGATTGGAACCATCTTTGTTGGAAATGGAGAAACACCCACCCTAGTCGGGGACAGAGGGAACCATGCCAGCTGTCTTGTTTTCACCGCTGTTTCTTAGATTGAGGTAACCCAAGGTGTTTTGTTCCTTTCCTGCACGAAGAGGTCATTGGTTAGACCGCACCCGGAATAGTGTGTCCAATTCTGGGCACCACAATTCAAGAGAGATATGGACAAGCTGGAATGTGTCCAGAGGAGGGCGACTAAAATGATCAAGGGTCTGGAGAACAAGCCCTATGAGGAGCGGCTTAAGGAGCTGGGCATGTTTAGCCTGAAGAAGAGAAGGCTGAGAGGAGATATGATAGCCGTGTATAAATATGTGAGAGGAAGCCACAGGGAGGAGGGAGCAAGCTTGTTTTCTGCTTCCCTGGAGACTAGGACACAAAACAATGGCTTCAAACTACAAGAAAGGAGATTCCATCTGAACATGAGGAAGAACTTCCTGACTGTGAGAGCTGTTCAGCAGTGGAACTCTCTGCCCGGAGTGTGGTGGAGGCTCCTTCTTTGGAAGCTTTTAAACAGAGGCTGGATGGCCATCTGTCAGGGTGATTTGAATGCAATATTCCTGCTTCTTGGCAGGGGGTTGGACTGGATGGCCCATGAGGTCTCTTCCAACTCTTTGATTTTATGATTCTATGATTTCCCCCTTCTTTCCAAAAGTCCTTAGTGTTTTATTGCCTTTTGTTTGAGAAGGATGCGCCACGAGGCGTCTCTCCCTTGAGATGCCTGACACACAGACATGATAATCAGCATTAGGGACTCTTCTACCCAAGTTAGGTAACTTTTTCTTTTGTCTGACCAAGTTCTTGTCTGAGATGTAACAATAAAAATGCTGTATATACTCAAGTATAAGCCAAGATTTTTGGTCTAAGTTATTTATTATTTTACTCTATTATTATTATTATTATTATTATTATTATTATTATTATTATCTCTATTTATTATTTTATTACATTTATTATTTTACTCTATTATTTTTATTATTTCATACATTATTTTACTCCATTATATTATTATTTATTTTACTCTATTATTATTTACTCTATTATTTTTATTGCGTTTATTATTTTTCTCTATTTTTTATTATTATTACGTAATTTTACTCTATTATTAGTTACTATTACATTTCCATTATTTTACTCTATTATTATATTTATTATTTTAATCTTATTTTTATTATTACATACATTATTTTACTCTATTATTTTATTGCATGTATTATTTTATTCTTATTTTATTATTATTATATTCATTATTTTACTTTATTATTTTGTTACATTTATTATTTTACTCTATTTGTTATTATTATTACATTATTTTACTCTATTATTACTGTTATTATTACATTTCAATAATTTTACTCTATTATTATTATATTTATTATTTTAATCTTATTTTTATTATTACATATATTATTTTATTCTATTTTATTATTATTATTACATTCATTATTTTACTTTATTATTTATTACATTTATTATTTTACTCTATTTGTTGTTATTATTACATTTTACTCTATTATTACTGTTGTTATTACACTTCCATTATTTTACTCTTATTTTTATTATTATATACATTATTTTACTCTATTATTTTTGTTACACTTATATTTTACTCTATTTGTTGTTATTACATTATTTTACTCTATTATTACTGTTATTATTACACTTCCATTATTTTACTCTATTATTATTATATTTATTATTACATGCATTATTTCACTCTATTATTTTTATTGCATTTATTATTTTACTCTTATATTTACTATTAAAATATTATTTTACTGTATTTTTATTATTATTACATTTATTACTTTATTCTATTATTTTGTTATATTTATATTTTGCTCTATTTGTTATTATTATTCCATTATTTTACTCTATTATTACTGTTATTATTACATTTCCAATATTTTACTCTATTATTATTAGCTTTATTATTTTACACTTATTTTACTTTTACACTTATTATTTCACTTTATTATTTTTACATTTATTTACTCTATTATTATTAGCTTTATTATTTTACTTTATTTATTATTGTTATTATACTCTATTATTACTGTTATTATTACATTTCCATTATTTTACTCTATTATTATTGGAAGGATACGTAAGCATATTTAGATTGAAGAAGCTTAGAATAATGGTTTAATCAGAGTTGGACAGTTTTATCCTAAATTACAGTTTTATGTAAATATTCTAAATCATTTAACCTCCTAATGCCTCATTTTATGTAATTTTATTGGTATCTATTTTTATTTTGAAATGTACCAGTAACTGCTGCATTTCCCACCCTCAGCTTATACTCGAGTCAATACGTTTTCCCAGGTTTTTGGGGTAAAATTAGGTGCCTCAGCTTATATTTGGGTCGGCTTATACTCGAGTATATACGGTAAGTGTTTTACCTTTTAAAATTTTGCCTGAGCATCCTGAGTATTGTTGGAGGATGCAGGGAATCAGTAAATGTGTGTGTGCCAACTGTAAAATAAGATGCACAAAGCTGATTGGTCAGGCAATGCCTGGGGAGATGGCTGAGCCTGAGACTTTTGGATACAGTTACATCTTGTTCAGGCTTGAGCTATGTAGGTGCAAAGAGAAAAGAAGAGAGATGTAGAGAGAGAGAAAGTTTGGAGTGCGCTCTCGCTTTATGAGCTGCTGAAGGAGTTTATCCACATGGACAGAGAAAGACCATTTCAAATCTCTCATAAAAGGACATTATGTGAGTTGATGCAACTGATCACATTGTACATATGTTGTTCTCAACTACAAAGAGTAAAGTACTTGTTCTTTATTGTTCACCTGTTTGGCATATTTTCTTTCTCTGGTAAGCCAGTGTGTGGGCTGACCAAATGTGAACTACACATGGTTTATTTTACATTATGCCACATGTATTTTCTCTCCTGTTTCCTACCATAAGCTCATATATACAGCACTGGCTTCACTGTGCTCTACTCTGCTATAGATACCAAATATTTCTACAATCTTTTAGCACTGGGACTGTGACGCAGCTGGCTGGGAGTTAGCTGCATTAAGATCACTACTGACCAAAAGGTCATGAGTTCGAAGCCAGCCCAGGTTGGAGTGAGCTTCCTACCTGTGTAGCTTGCTGTCGACCTTTGCAGCCAGAAAGACAGTTGCATCTGTCAAGTAGGAAATTTAGGTACCACTTGTGCAGGGAGGCTAATTTACGACGTCATAAAAATCTCCAGCAAGCATGCAAAGAATGAGGAAGTACTCCATCAGTGTCACAAATGGACGGTGAAGCGACAGCTCTCCTGGTGGCCAGAATACCCTCGTGAAAAAGCCGGAATGTTAAATAGCCTCTGTTTGTGTGTCTATATATGTTGTGTGTCTATGATATTGAATGTTTGCCATGTAGATGTACATTGTAATCCGCCCTGAGTCCCCTGCGGGGATGGAATATAAATACTGTATATAGATAGATAGATAGATAGATAGATAGATAGATAGATAGATAGATAGATAGATAGATAGGGCATTTACTAGGTTCCCTGAAGCAACCACAGAAATTTGGCAGCAATGAACCCAGATCTAAAAGTATTATTGTTATGTTCTATTTCAAACTCCCATTACAAGTGGACTGTACTCAAAGAACTAACTGTTGGCGTTAGCAGAGTATCGCAGAAGCTCAGAATAATGGTCTCTGGAGTCTCCGGTAAAAGCAGGTTTTCAGCTTTACTTAAGCAGCTCAAAATAGACAACATACACCATCAGCGGACAGACGTGAACACAAACCGAAAGAGATAGGAACTAATACAAACTGCAGCTGGAAGGAAGTTTATCTCTGGCACTCCCTAATCTTTCACAGAGCAAGAACTCAGGGTCACATTCTCACAGCTTGTTCCTTTGCTGTTTAACCCTTCTGTGTCAAACTACATCCTGGCAATACAGTTCTATTACAATCACAATCCTATCACATAAAATTACATTTAAACACACATCATACATGAATTACACACTGACACTAACTCAATTGAGGAGGTGTGACAGAATAAAAACTTTGGTTTTACGGGAACATCTTAGGGAGCTGAGTGTGTTTAACCTGGAGAAGAGAGGACTACTCCAGAGAAGGAGCAGCCATGTTTTGATATTTGAAAGGATGCTCCACTGAGGAAGGGGAATGCTTGTGTTCTGCTGCTCTGCAGGCTTGGGCACAATGGAGTAATGGATTCAAATTGCAGGAAAAGAGATTCCATCTAAGTTAGGAAGAACTTTCAAATGGTCAGAGCTGTTCAACTGTGGAATATGCTGCCGCCTGGGTCTCTCCTTCTCTGGAAATTTTTTTAAGCAGATGCTGAATGGTCATCTATCCAGTGTGCTTTTATTGTGTCTTCCTGTGAAGCAGAAGGGGGTTGGACTGGATGGCCCTTGGGGTCCCCTCCAACTCTGTGAATCTGTGGTTCTACATACCTCAAAGAACCACCTTCCAGAGTTCAGCTTCTCCAGATGAGACCACGGGAACATGGCAGCCTCTTCGTTCATAAACTCAGGGTATAAAGACCGAACATTGGTGGTTCTTTTCAAAGTGCTGTCATGCATCAGGAAGGGAATACCGTCGAAGCTGCCAAAACACAAAAAGCACCTTCTCAGACCAAGTGCCAAATTCCATTTGCAAATCACCTTCAGTCTCATGCTCTACAATCTCAATTTTTGAGCGAATATTGCAATATTTTACATTCTATTTCACATTTCTTGGCAGGGGGTTGGACTGGATGGCCCATGAGGTCTCTTCCAACTCTTTGATTCTATGATTCTATGATCTCTGAAATAGTTTTCTTCATTCTTGTTGATTACCCTCGTTTCTCCTTGTTGCTTTTGTAATATGTGGCATTTTCCCCTCTTGATTCTTCTTTCTCTGTTCTGAATCAGTCAGAGAAATGAAGCCACCTGGTTGATTATTTTATTTAGCATTTAGTTGTCCATACAATATTTGAAATTTTTAAATAATAATTTTCCTAAGCAATCTACACAATGGTCATGTGCATTCGGGGAAAATCTTGTCCCATTTCGTATCCCGGATTTCGTTGGGGGTCCCGATCCATTTTTTGTAAGCCTCCTGAAATTGAGTTGTTTTTGGTTCTTTCATTTCGGGACCATTATGGGGTGGGGGGCTTCCAACCCACTGGCTCCCCCTTCCCAGTTTGCGTTCTTGTTATCTGGCACCTGCTCTTTCTACTCTAGAGTAAAATGTGCTCACTCAGCCGTAGGCAATGACAGGTGCGCTCTTTCCAGGTTAGCCTGCATTCCCCGCCACACACACACTCTCCTTGGAAAGAGAGTGTGTATGTCAGTGGCAGGGCATTCAGGCAGGCCCAGAAAGCGCACGCCTGCCAGTGCCTGCAGCTGAGCACCTCTTACTCTATAGTAAGAGGCACTCAGCTGCAGGCTTGCTCCAGGCCTACCTGCACACTCCACCACACACAACCCGCCACATTCTGCAAGAGTGTGGATGTGCAGGCGGGCCCGGAAAGTGCATGGGCTTGGCAGTGCTTGCAGCCGAGCATGTCTTACTCTAGAATAAGATGTGCTCAGCTGCAGGACTGCTCCAGGCCTGCTTGCACACCCACCACACACGCGCGCCCCCCACCACCACCACCCTTGGGGTGTGGCAGGGCATTCAGGCAGGCCCAGAAAGTGCGTTCCTGCCCGTGCGTGCAGCCGAGCACCTCTTACTCTAGAGCAAGAGGCACTCAGCTGCAGGCTTGCTCCGGGCCTACCTGCACACTCCACCACACACAACCCGCCACATTCTGCAAGAGTGTGGATGTGACAGGGCATGCAGGCGGGCCCGGAAAGTGCATGGGCTTGGCAGTGCTTGCAGCCGAGCATGTCTTACTCTAGAATAAGATGTGCTCAGCTGCAGGACTGCTCCAGGCCTGCTTGCACACCCACCACACACGCGTGCCCCCCACCACCACCACCACCACACTCTATGAGAGTGCATGTGCCGCAGGACATGCAGGCAGGTCCAGAAAGGGCATGTGCCTGCACCTCTTACCCTAGAGCAAGAGACACTCAGCTGCAGTCCCACTCTGGGCCTGCTTGCACACTCCACCACACACAACCTGCTACACTCTGCAAGAATGTGGGTGTGACAGGGCATGCAGGTGGGCCTGGAAAGTGCATGTGCCTGGCAGTGCTTGCAGCTGATAATCTCTTACTCTAGAGTAAGAGGTGCTCAGCTGCAGGACTGTTCCAAGCCTGCATGCACACCCACCACATACGTCCCACCACCACACTCTATGAAAGTGCATGTGTGGCAGGGCATGCAGGCAAGACCGGAAAGCGCATGTGCTTGCCAGTGCCTGAAGTCGAGCATCTCTTGCTCTAGAGCAAGAACTGCTCAGCTGCAGGACCACTCTGGGCCTGCTTGCACACCCCACCACACACAACCTGTCACACTCTCAAAGTGTGCGTGTGTGTGGCGGGGCGTGCAGGCAGGCCAGAAAGTGCATGCGTCTGCCAGTGCCTGCAGCCGAGCACTTCTTGCTCTAGACTAATAGGCACTCAGCTGCAGGACCACACTGGGCCTGCTTACACACCACCACACTCTACGAGACTGCGTGTGTGGTAGGGTGTGTAGGCAGGTCCGGAGCGCACTGCAACCAAGCTCTGTCCCTGCCTGCCTGCACGCACCGCCACACACACTCTCTCTTTCCAAGGCAAGGAAGCAAGTTTGGATGCACATGAAAACAGGCTGTAAGGAGGCTTTTGTGTCAAGCAGATTTTCGTGTGGGAGGGGCTTCCCATTTCATGCTTCCAAACAAATGGAAGACACAAAATAAATGGTAGGAATGGTAGGAATGAATTTCACGCACATGTCTAGTACACAAACATTTAAACCATTAAATAATGAAATCCATGGAATGTCGTGGAGTCTCCTTCTCTGAAGTTAAGTAGAGGCTGGATGGCCATCTGCCATGAATGGTCTGATTGTGTTTTTCTGCATGGCAGAAGGGGGTTGGATTGGATGGCCCCTGGGACTCTCTTCCAACTCTATAATTCTTTGATTTCAACAGTATCAAAACAAAATAATATTTCAGATATCAAGCATTTGTCAAATTATACACAAGAGTAAAATGCCACCAGTAAGTAAACAACAGAGGTAACAAAGTGACAGCTTAAACACCACAAACTATAACAATTCCTCAAAGACAGATATTTAAATCCTGAAAACTGTAATTGAACAATCATGCCACTTAGTGAGCAATGAAATGTCCTTACCTAATTGTGACATCTGTCTCCAAACCATAAGCACCGTGCTCAATGCCTTTAACAAACGACATTTCTGTATTTTCGGGAGCCACCTATTATGGAACAAAAGTGAGATACTGAAAAAATCCCGACTCCCGGCCAAAATACGATATATTCGACCTGTAATTGCATCAGTTTCTTTAAAAAAAATTAAAATAGCAGCTATGACAGTCAATTATTATTGGGACTGGACAGGAATTTTAACAATTTCTCACTTACCATGAGGAAAATGGAAACATCTCCAACAATTACAGCCTGCAATTGCTTGAAGGGACAACAGAGCTATAAAGCTGGCATGGGCAAACTTCGGCCCTCCTGGCAGGCTAGACGGCTGGCCTCCTACCTGTCCAGGGACGACCTAGCTACGGTGATCCAGGCCACGGTCATCTCAAGACTGGACTACTGTAACGCCCTCTACATTGGCCTTCCTCTGTCGGTGATCCGGAAGCTCAAGTTGGTACAAAATGCAGCTGCTCGGCTTCTTGCGGGAATTCCGATGAGATGCCACATAACACCAATCTTACTACAGCTGCACTGGTTACCAATTGAGCACCGGATCACTTTCAAAGTGATGGTACTCACCTTTAAGGCCTTGCATGGTCTGGGGCCGATGTACCTGAGGGACCGCCTCACCCCCTACCAACCCCAGAGATCCCTCCGTCTGAGGACCAAGATTTGTTGGAAATTCCCAGTGTCAAGACCTTGCGTCTAACAGCAACCAGACGCAGAGCCTTTACAGCAGTGGCACCATCACTCTGGAATACTCTGCCACCTGAAGTCCGTGCCTTGCGGGACTTATCAGCTTTCCGCAGGGCATGTAAGACATATCTGTTTCGACAGGCCTTTGATCTTTGATATTGCTGTTTTTAAATTGTTTTAAATTGTTTTTAAATTGTGTTAGATTTTAGCCTGTTCTTGTAAGCCGCTCCGAGCCCCAGGGGAGTGGCGGCATATAAGTTTGAATAATAAATAAATAAATAAATAAATAAATAAGTCTTTGCTGACTATCCCAAGGTCCTGATGCTGATTGTTTAAACAAAAAGGTGGATTATTTTTTATTTTGTATCAAAAGCACTGCATAAATTAGTATAAAAACTGATAAAAAATAAAAGCAGCAAAAGTGGTTAAATATCTTTCGACCAAAAACAGGCCACAGCAACCACATTAGCTGTAGCCTCCAACAACTTTTCCTCTGTACATGAGGCAGGGCAGAGTGGACAAGCATATACATGCGGGGGTGTTTGTTTTGCTCCACAGTCACACAAGGTGTGGGATTCTTTTAGGTTGTGCCATTTTGCCAGGTTATATTTTGATGTAGCCACTCCACTTTTAAGTCTGTTCAGGGACTTCCAAGCTGCCCATTCTTGGTTTGCCCCTGGAGGAAGACCCTCATGGAGGACTCTCCAATTGAGATTTCCTTGTTTAGCTGCCCAGAGGGACACTCTTAATGTTGCTGGGAGAACGTTAAAAGGAGTAGTGGTTCTCATGAAACTTTTCCTTGAGTTACATCTACTGGGAGGAGGCTGATAGCCATGCAGTGGGTGGCTTTCACAGTGTTCAACCTTATTTCTCTCCCAGTTGGCAGCAACTTCCCATCACACTTTTTTTTTGGGGCGGGGGGGATTCCAGCTAGCTTATAGAGTCTATCAACAGATGTAGGTTTAAGACATCCAGTGATTATTCTATATGTCTCATTTAGTGCTACCTGCTTCGCATGGGCAGATTTATTCCAGATGGGGCAGGCATACTCAACAGTTGAGTAAGACAAGGCCAGGGCTGATGTTCTTATTAATTTTGGGTCTGCACCCCATGCACTATTAGTAAGTTTCTGCAAGATGTTATTGCGTGCAGCTACTGTGTGTTTGATGTTCATGCAGTGTTTTCTATATGTTAGAGTTCGATCTAAGGTGACACTGAGGTTTTTAGGATGGAAACAATGTTCAAGCTCTTGACCTTCCCAGGTAACTTTCAATTTCCTGTTGGCTTAACGGTTCTGTAGGTGGAGGCACACTTGTGTCTTGGCAGGGTTAGGCTTCAGGTGGTTATCTTTGAAGTAGCTGGAGAGATCTTTCAGGGTATTAGTAAGTTGGATTTTGACTGTTTCTGTGATGGTACGTCTGTACCAGGAGCTCCAACTTTATTTTCTTTCTATTAAGTGTTTGCATGCATTCCAAAGTTTCAGGGATTCTGCAAAAAGGTGGCTTCCTTTGGTTTGCAGTCATAGGACAAGCCACCTGTCTATCATTGTTAAGTTTGGATCCGCCCCTTCTCCCAGGGAGATGGGAAGGGAAGAGGGGGCCATTTTAGTTAGTCTTAGTGAGGAAAGCTAAGTTAGAGGATGTGGACAAGCTTCACCTGCAGAAAAGCTTCATTTCTCAAGACATTCCGGGGGGAAATTCCCAAAGCTCTGGCTGGGAGGTTGCAGCCTCTCAGCCTTACAGCATCTGAGGGAAACAGCACTAAAGTCTTAAAGAAATTCCAGAGGGAAAACAGCTTTACAGACCCAAAGAACTCCAGCTGAAGAATCTACAAGCTTTGCCTGGTAGGTTTACTCGGTACCAGGACACAGTTTGGAATCGGTAGTAGATCCCACACCAACAAAACTTAGATAACAGACAGCCTGGGAGAGGTTAAAAAGGGGTTTTCCTCTCAAAGTATAAGAACAATGAACGAAGACAGTTGCCTGTCCCTTGTGGACAAGATTAAGGAAGCCACCAGTTGATTTAAAGCCTTGAAGCATTTGTTTGACTCATTGAAGATTTGAGAAATATCTGTTTAATTTGTTCAATAATAAAGGACTTTGTTTAGCCATCTAAAGAGCATTTCTTCAGGAAAATCCTTGAGGGCCTCTTTCGTGGTGCACTGGCTTCCCGCTGGGCACAAGGTGCACGTCCTACTTCAAAAGACAATTATTACAGGCCCAGTGCGTGACAGAACAGTTTCAAAGACTTTTGCTTGTGTTGTTAGGCCAAGGTCATCAGCATATATAAAGCTCTTTGTGAGTGGTGGCTGTGGCTGATCGTTAGTAAAGATGTTAAACAAGGTCAGTGCAAGAACGCTGCTTTGGGGTAAATCCTCTTAGGGTAAACCATCTGAAATCTGAAAAGTCAGACACACTGATATTTGATATATACAGCCTACAAAACAACGTCTCATGCAGCGTAAAATATCTAAATGCAGTAATGCACTGTATTAGCACTGTGCTGTCACACGCTGGGCCTGTGCATCAGACTGTAGACAGGACATAAATTCTGTGTGCCCAACGGGATGCCGGGGCTGCCTCAGATTAAAGGCCTTTGGATTTCCCTAAAACACAGGTACTTTAAAGCTTTCTTAACAGTCTATAGGCTCTTTCAATCTTGTCCACAGGGAACAGGCACTATCTTCTTAACTGTAACTAATGGGGAAAATCCTTAACTTCTAATCTGGGCAGTCTCTCTTTGCCTCTGTTGACGTGGAGCCCCTGCAACCGGTACCAACTGCTTCTGGCTTCAGCGAGAGACCCTTACCAGGCAGAGCTTTGTAGACTTCCAGGGAGAAAGGAGTTCAGGTTTCGGTGATGGCTGGCTGAAGTCCCTCAGCAAAGAAGCTGTAAGGCTGTATGATCCTCGGCCAAGCTGTGGGTTGTATAACCCCAGCCAAGCTGTAGGCTGTATATCTTCCCGGCCAAACCGTAGAAGACGAAGCTTTCTACAGGAGCTCTTGGTATTATGTCCTGCATGGAAAGCTGCTCTGTGTGGACTGAATCCAAAAAGGCTCCTATTCCCTCCAAAAACCCAAAAGGGGGCGGGACCAGGGAACCTAACTATAATTGACAGGTGGCTTGCCCTATGATTGCAGCCAAAAGAAGCCACCTATCTGCAGAGTCCCTGAAACTTAGGACTATAACAAACATTAAATGCAAAGCAAACAAAATTGGAGCTCCTGGAACAGCTGTTCCAGAACAAGCACTTTTCCACAAGCCCTATGTAAAATCGCAATATTGCAAATGTGGAAGGCCGACTGTGCAATAATCAGTCTGAAAGAGTAAAACAAAACAGCAAGAAGAAATCCACTAAAACCGCCCACTCCTTTTCAGTCCCACCTACCATTGGAGCTCCTCTGTGGCCAATGAGTTCTGGCTTGGGACCCAAGGTTCCCTTCTCCCGGATACAGGGAGAGTACAGTCCCAAAGGTATGAAGAGGAGGAGGAGGAGGATGGCCAAGTACGGGAAAAGGATAAACACCTTCATCACTGAAGAAGATAAGAGGAGTCAAGAGCTTGCATTCATAGGAAAAAAAAGTCAGCACCAAGTAAAGTTGGAAAGTTAGTCGTTTCCAGTCTAGATCACTTTTGACAGAGCTGATCCACTTATGACCCCTCTCAGTCTGAGAAATTTTGTCACAAACCCAGGTATATAGATACCTATACACATAATAAAAGTGAAAATATGTATGTGTATATGGCTAGGGCATCCACTTACACAGACAAGCCCCTGCTCCACAAACATAGGAGACAGCCAAAGGCCCTCCTTCCAATGACATTGCAGGTTAAAGTGAGTTCCTAGAACATGTCCAAGAGCCCTGCCAATGTCCTCCACAAACACCATACTGCCCACCCCCAAGTGAAGGCTTTCATACAGGGACAATTTCATCCTAGATTTCATGTGTTTTCTCCACCACAGGCATCCCAGTGTTTCTTACTCTCTCCACTAGTGTGGAATTTGCATGACCCCACCCACTGCCTCTCCTATAACCCTTTTTAAATTCTTTTCTATGCCACACAGCCAGAGGCGGCCCTAGGTAATTTTCAACGGTAAGCAAACAGTATTTTGCCCCCCCCCCCCCCCAAACAATCATTGATATATATTTTCTGTTTGTCATGGGAGTTCTGTGTGCCATATTTGGTTCAATTCCATCATTGGTGGAGTTCAGAATGCTCTTTGATTGTAGGTGAACTATACATCCCAGTAATAGTTCACCTTGCTGCATTTGCTCCCTTGCCTGGCCCACTTTGGGTCCGGAGGAGTGCCTGAAGACCCTGGCATGTGCACCAAAAGTCACCTCTCCTGACTTTCTCCTCAGCCATTGGGACCGAGAGAGAGAGAGAGAGAGGTGGAGATGCCCATCTTTCCTGAAGGTAGGTGCAAAAACAAAGGAGGGAGCGGAGGTGGGAGATACCTCCAGCCGGAGGGGCTCTCTCTCTCTCTCTTGGTCCCAATGGCTGAAGAGAAAGTCAGGAGAACGACTTTTGGTGCGCATGCTGGGGTCTTCAGACGCCTCCGGACCCGAAGCGGGCCAGGCGGCTCCGCCCCTTGGCCCACCCGCGGATTGGGGAGAGGAGAGGAGGCGGGTGGAGCACCGGGGGATCGGAAAAGGGAGCCGGTCATGGGGAAGGGATCGAACGCGGAGAACGATTGAGCGCCGGCTCTGCTCGCGCACCCGGTGGCCGGGTGGAGCAGGAACGAGAGGGGCTAGGCGAGGCTCAAGGGCCCGGCCCCTTTGGGAAGAGGATCGCCCGGCAGCGAGGCAAGAAAGCCGAGGCTCCCCCCGGACTGATAGGGCTGTTGTGAGCTGAGGGGGCGCTCCTCAAGTGGCGGTCGAGGGGCATTTACAGAGGCGCCTCTGCGCCCCTGGCAAAAAAAAGTGTTCTGCGACCGCTTACTTCGCGTAATGGACGAGCCGCCCTTGCCTGTCAGCTGCAAAAGGCCACCTTACTGGGATCTGCACACATTATTCACCGATACATCACACCCTAGTCTCCAGGGCAGCAGAAACAAGCTTGCTCCCTCCTCCCCCTATGACCCTCACTCTCTTATACACAAATATACAGGAGATTCCACCTGAACATTAGGAAGAACTTCTTGACTGTGAGAGCTGTTCAGCAGTGGAACTCTCTGCCCCGGAGTGTGGTGGAGGCTTTTGAACAGAGGCTGGATGGCCATCTGTCAGGGGTGCTTTGAATGCAATTTTCCTGCTTCTTGGCAGGGGGTTGGACTGGATGGCCCATGAGGTCTCCTCCAACTCTGTGATTCTGTGATTCTTATTATTTTCTTCAGGCTAAACATGCCCAGCTTTTTAAGCCGCTCCTCATAGGGCTTGTTCTCCAGACCCTTGATCATTTGAGCCGCCCTCCTCTGGACACATTCCAGCTTGTCAATATCTCCCTTCAATTGTGGTGCCCAGAATTGAACACAATATTCCAGGTGTGGTCTAACCACACCTGGAACAGTCTATTAGTTTTACAAAGTTGCCTCCATGCTCTGAATAGCTCCACTTTTACTGTATTTCACATTCTATCTTTTCCCCATTCTCATGTTTTATATCATGCTCTTCCTCCAATTAAGCGAGTGTACCTTTACTTTTCATCCGGAAGAAATGCAATGATACTGGCCAAGCCAGGATGATCATGGCACAGATGGCGCCTAAGTGAAAAAATGGAGCCGTGATCTGTTGGGAAAGACAAAAGAGACCCATAAGAATGGGAGGAAACCCTCAAAGATGTTTTCAGGTCCTTTTGAAATTTTGCCCCTTATTATGTACAATTTGCTGAGACATAAAATGTGTATTATAGTATTCACTACTAAAAGCAACACCGTTGAGAAGAAATATGCTATGCTTATGTTCAGGATACTCAATTCCATCTGAATTAGTCAAAGCAATATAGGGGCCACCTGTAGCACAATGGGTTAAACCCTTATGCCGGTAGGACTGAAGACCGACAGGTTGCAGGTTCGAATCCGGGGAGAGCATGGATGAGCTCCCTCTGTCAGCTCCAGCTCCCCATGCGGAGACATGAGAGAAGCCTCCCACAAGGATGGTAATACATCAAAAACATCTGAGCATCCCCTGGGCAACGTCCTTGCAGACAGCCAATTCTCTCACACCAGAAACGGCGTGCAGTTTTTCCAGTCGCTCCTGATACGTAAAAAAAAAAAAGTCAAAGCAATGCTCTGCCAGATACCACAAGCCCGCATTTTCTTACCTGAAATGACAGGTAAAATGTATTCCACTGTTTATGCCACAGAAGTGTGATCAAGCCTAAGCCAAAAATAGAGAGGCACAGGAAGACGGTCACTGCTGCCTAGAAGATCAGAATTTACAAATTACTAGGCTTGGGCGGTTTCGTTCGTTAATTTCGTAATTCGTTATTAATTCGTATTTAAATTAGCTTACGATCCAATATTGAGCCATGCAGGAATAGTGTGAGGAGTAAATTAGATTCAAAACAATTTTTTCAATTTATTTCGTAATTTCGTAATTATTTCGTAATTATTTTCGCATGTCTGGTGCAAGTTTTATAGTTGTTGTTTGTTTTATCACACCAACAGTCAACAACAGAGGGAGAGGGAAGCTTCAGAAGTTCCCCCTGTCCCATTTGGAGGATTTTTTGGCATATTTGGCCACTCTATTTTTTGGCATATTTTTTGGCGCAATCGCGTCCGCCATTAACGAATCGATTCGTAATTATACGAAATTTCATAAATTTCGAAATTTTTAAAAGAAAAATTTCGGAATTCTTTAAAAAAACGAAACGCGATGGACCCCTAAAAACGAAACGAGTTTAGAAACAAATTTTTCCGTTGTTACCCAAGCCTACAAATTACTTATTGTTGGAATTCAACCCCACACTGCCCAAGTCTCAAGTCCTCAATGAGGAGCTGTTAGTTTAGTATAGGCTGTGTTTCCCTTCCCCCATGTCTCCTGAATGATAGTTGGGAATTGCTGGAGTTCAGCCTGTGACTGTGTTTCAGGATCAGGGTGCTTTGGATGCAGGAAGTGATGCCAATGAATTTCAAGATGGCAGTGGTTTGGTCAATGATGCTGATGCAGAGAAGGACTTGGAGACCCCTGTGCAAAGTGTAGTTTCCCATGAGAATGACCCTGAAGGGAGTGCAACAGATAGTATACTCCCTGAAGTGCTACCAGAGGATTCCCAGAATTTGGGGCTTGAAAACAACTGGGCACCTATTTGCTCATTGCTTAATGAGCAAATAGATAGGCAAGAGGAAATTAGTCAAAACAGACAGGCCGAACAGTGTTTTCGACATTCTGCCAGGCTTCGACAGAAAAAGATAAGGGGATCTCAAGTAAGATGAAACCAATTCCTGAGTGTGTGGAATAGCTCAATGAGGGGATAAAAGTCCCAGCTATGGGAAATATAGTCAGATGAAGCATCATTGGAATCAAGTGTGGTTCTCGTCCTTTGTTTCATGGAAGCTTTGCTTGGAAGATTCTTGTCTAAGTATTTCTTGTTCATGGTTTGG